ACTAACCACAAGCCATAGCAAATCATCAGAAAACGGTTCCATTATTTTGCCTTTCCAATAACTGTCGAATCCGACTAATCAATTTTCATATAAAAAACCATTTCTGTAGCACCTAACCAAACGCAAATATTACCATAATTAACGATAAGCTTGGCTCTATATTATATTAATTCCTTAACACTTGTTGAAAACAATCCTTTCTTATCTTTAGACAGTCGAATTTCCATTCCTTTATAGAAAAATAACTATAGAATATACATATAAATAGTAGCTAAAGATTTACAGATAATAATTAGTTACGACTTTAAAAGCAATTCGTAAACTAGTTATAAATTTTTAATATTTAGAAATAAAGTAATTCGAAACTTATGTGGTGGTTGTGCGTCACAATGTTTGATGTTTAAAGAGTCTTTCGTATAGATGAGGATGGCTTGTTAATTTCGGCTTCATCATTTCTGTAAAGATAATGGACAAGTTAAAAAACTAGACCAAGAGTAGGTGCTTAGAATGTTGTCTACAATTAACTATCCCATAGTGATACCTCAAATTGTAGTTATACTGAAATTCCTACCTATCTTAGCAGGGAAGCAACAATGCGTGTATGACATAGGTAAATTGAATATCTGTTTTTTGTTTTAATTAATTTCTTATACCTAGGTATCTAAGTATGAATCACATATTAATCATGCTAACCTATGACTAAAGCCTTACTCCACACATAATAAATAACTATGAGCGTCCAAAATGGATGTCCACATGTTTCCACGATATCGATTCGACGCCATTTGATTTATTAAAATCGCGCTAAAATAACGATCACAGATACAGCAAACGACACGAGATAAACACCAAATTCCGCACTAGTTCCTTTTGGAAGGAGGTATTAAATTGGGAATTTGCACCAGATTGCGTCACATGTGCCTTTAGTTTCCATCATCGCTGTATATTTTTAAAGTGTCAGCTCATGTCATAGCTATCGTATAACACGTGTCGTTATGGACCAAACACCGTGTCACATCAATGAAAATCTAATTAAGTGTAACACTTGCAAATCAGTTACGTAATCAATTACAATACTGAGAAAAAAAATGTCACTTACTTTTGAATAGTGTAGGATTTTATAGTCCTAAAATCGCTTGAAGTGTAGAAACACGAGGGATCGCCTTGAGCTCCTCAGGTGTGGACTGAAGTTGACGAGGGTCGCACCGGGTCGCCGACTGAATGGAGCATGCGCGAAGGGCACCAGCCACCCCACTCCAACCCCCCTATTCAGACTCGAGCACAATAAAAATGTTTGTTCCTTAGCAAAAGAGCCCTTAGGTAACGTTACCAACTGTATTCAAATAGGAAACCGGCTTAATAAAACCAATGGTCCCTCATACCCGTTAATATTGCGTACGCATTTACGTAAGAATGCGATGTAATCCGCAGTAGTTTAGGAATAAAGCAAAACGAAACTACCTATATTTAATTCATGTTTTAAGAAGTAGGTAATTAGGTGATTTTTCCTAATTCGTTGGCAACTAGGTACACGCCGTACACGTACTACGATGTTGCTTTTAGTAGGTACCTTGATTTATCTTAAGAAGCGGCAATACCAACTTAAATCACAGCACAGCTCATGTCTTAGAGGCAATAAGTGAAATGTATGTACCTAAGTATCATTTAAATTATTAAATGTAATTAATGTCAGGTAGAACATCTTGTGTGTTATCTCAGGCTACGATCCATTTCTGTAAACATGCAAATTGTCTGAACTATTTCTGCGAGTTAAGTAAGAGTCTAGCAAAAATCTCAAATATGATAAATACCCCCGAGAATCATTCCCGAGACCACTTGCTCGGCAAGTCGGCAATCGTGATGTCAGCTCACAACTAACGAGGCAGTCAATATAATAAGTCAATATTAGACATACTTACAAGCATAGCATGCATAGGTATCTAATCTAAACATCTGCCATAATTATGCTTGGTAGCTTTCAACAGGGAAGTACCTACCTACTAATTATGTTGGAATACCTACAGCTGCCACATTTATTTACCAGAATTATTTTTGTAATGGAAAAACAAGAAATAGGTCTCAAACAAATAAAGTAGATACCTGGATACAGATAAATTTTCATTATGTGCAATATTAATTGTTACCGGGTACTGTACCTATGTGCTTATGTAAGTATGTATTTTGTATTAATTTGTGGAAATTTGAAAACTCAATAAATTGACCCTGAGAGTAGGAGACTTATGAAAATCGTATTTTTGAAGATACTTATGTGATGTGGGTTTTAGTATCTACTTATCGTGGTGCACTGGTGCCTGCCAGTTAGGCGGCGTTAGATAGAATGTAGTTTCCGTACCTACATGTGAGACGAAATAACAAGGTAGTAGCAGGGCCGTCTTAGACTACGCTGGGCCCCTTGACCACACAATAATTCGGGGCCCATTTAGAACGTTTCTTTTTTTTAACGTTTTATTTTTAAACTAGAATCGATCACTAGAATGGAGGCCCTGGGCACGGGCCCCGAATGCCATTATGGTAAAGACGGTACTGGGTAGTAGGTAAGTTTTTTGTCAACTTGTCAGTCTCGTTTTTCGGTACTTCCGAACCGATACGACCTTCAAACCTTCAAGAAAATGTGTAAGGCAAAAGCGTAGGTATTCCTTTTTACTAGGTCGGCAACGCATCTTTGACTCCTCTGGTATTGCGTGTGTCCATGGGCGGTGCTGATTGCTTATCATCAAGTGATACGACTGCTCGTTTGCCTCCTATTCCATAAAAAAACGTTTCTCTTCGCCTTCCCCAGGTAAAAGGATGATTTTCTGCCTGAAATGGAGGTAAAATAGGAATCCAGACCCAGTCAAATAAGAATCTAATTACAATTTAGTGTTTCGGTCACTTCAGTCAACAAGGGTCTAAATCTTCAGTCAAAAACGTACTTTTCTTGTCCTGCTTTGCCGTTTGTTTGTCAAACTTGATTAATATAGTACCTTTAAGTACCTAACAAATCTGTAAAACAACTTCAACAAGCGCTTTAGTTGAAATCAGCAGAATAAGTCATCATTAGCAAAATTTATGAATCATAATGAAAAACATGTACCTACTTAGATACTTCGGTAAATAGATAGATACGTAGGTAAGTATTTTATAATTTAGATTTAAAATGATAATAAAATTACAAAACGTTAAATGATCTCTAGTCTCTACATACCTACCTACATTGTTACGTTCAAATTAAGGCTGAGGTACCTATGAACAAAAAAGTTACGACTCATTCAGCGGGCAACGGAAATAAAAACAAAACATATCTCAGTGCCTTTAACTGAAACATTAAGAGTTTTATCTTCAGTGCATAAAATTCAAAGTCGCGGAATCTGAAGAGACTGCGAGTGACCGAGATGGCAAGTGTAGTCTGTCTGTGAATTGGACTAGAGGGCTTAGTCGTTTACAGGTTTACTGTTGCCTAACTGCCGCGCAGGCGACTATTCGATAAAAGATATTGTCTCTGTCTATAACGTAAGAGGTACTGATTCCCATGTAACACAAAAATGGATATTCCCACTGAACAATCATTAAAACATTGCTGCGAAATGTTCATTTGGAGAAAGCAACGCTCGTTCTCTAAGTTTACATCTTCAGAAGTCAATACCATCAACAATATTGAGCCGAGATCAACGTACCATGAACTACACGCAATGAGTTCTTCACAGAATGGAGTAATTAATGGCATTATAACGCCACAAACAATAAAGACAATCTGTAAGTACCAGGTAGATATTCAATTCCAACAGAGGTATGCAATTCTTATTATCGTTTGTAAAATAATAGCCTTGACTTTTCCAAAAAGAAACTTGTTTCACATTCGCTGAAATGTTCTACATGCAAATGTATGTTATGCTAAATGCTAATCGATAACTTTGCAATCAAAATAACTTGAGTCTTACCTAATTAAGTACATAATTATTAAGAGACGGAAACAAATCTATATATAATCTAATTTTTGAAGAAGGCCAATAGGTAGGCAAAAAACAGAACTTATCACCCACACCTTTTATCCTGAAGAAATAGGAAGATTTTGCGCATTTATTCAGTTGTTTGAAATCCCACGCAAATGAGGGGGGCGGGGGATACTACCTACTATAGACTAAAAAATAGTTAATTTACATAATAAGATAATTCAGCAGTGTATTGTAGGATTTGTAGAGTTAGTGGATAGTGTAAGTACCTAGTCACTAATCAGACAAGGGGTCGAACCAAGGATCTCGCGGTCATGCTGATAAAGGTCGTACATATGCAAGCAAAACAAAAACAAATGCAATACGTACCGTACCTATCTGTCGTTAAGCTCATTATCAGTTAACACCTATAAAATATGTAAACCTCTTATTGCCTATACAAGGTCATTTATAAATAAATATTCATCACCATGTCTACACAGTAAAGTACCAAAGCCCATCTACTATGTAAATACCTATATAGCAGATTAGGTAAGTAGGAACATAAACCTTACCTAGTAAGTATTATAGGTTTTTTAGGATACTTACTTTAAATTTAAATTCCTTTAATTTTTTACACCTTCATTTTAATATATATTTCCTATCTACTTATAGTAACAATTGCTGTTATAATCTATGCCTCACTGATTGTAAAATCATTTAAATTCAATATCTATTTAACAATTGTTTCTATCTAATTGTCTGAATATTATTATTTGTATGATCTGATGCAGCAGTTAACACAGAGTATGTTTTATTTGAATACTTTTAATACTACATATCTATATCTACCCTCTATTTTAAGAAATACCAAGACTATTACTTAGTACTTGTCAAGACTATTCTAAAGTTATTAATATAGGAAAAAAACAAGTTTTAATATTTATATAAGTATTTATTTAATTAGAATTGTTTTCCTCACATTATGCTCCGACATAGTTTTCCATAGTAAAAACTAAACCTTAATAATTGGCAAAAATAAATAAAAAACAAAGCTTGCAAGTTTAAATGTTACTTGGTCCCAACAATTTCATATTTCAAGTTGTTTTCGATGAGTTTATTTATTAAATTGGTGTTTTTGAAAACGGCTCCTGGAGTTGTAACTCCACCTGCTCCAGGCAACTTCTCTCTCTCCTTGAGAACAGTGTGTGCTGCCATCAGAAGTGCTACAACTGTGGCACCATATCCTGGATTTGTGCCAGTGACCCTAGCAACAACGGTTTTATTTGGCTTTGTGTTCTGTACATCAGAACCACTCTCCCATCCTTTTCCGACAAGCTTAAACGAGAAATGTGTATTATTCATAACATTATCAGTAGGACCCTCCTTTGTCACCATGCCCAGGGAACAAATCTTGGGATACTTAAGCAAAATATTTCTGGTGAATGACATTTTTGTCATAATTAAAAGTATTACAGCTCCAAAGATACTAAGAATGGATTGACACAAACTTCCAGATTTGAAGTAAGCTTTGAATTGAATAGGACGTTCCTGTTCATTGTGATATAAATAGCGCTGAGTACGATAGACAACTGACTCATCAGCTCCAAGAAATGGGAGATACCACTTGCCATCCTTCTTGTGCAGTGTTTGACGTTGAAGTTTGGGCTTTAAGCGAGGTAGAGGTTCAGGATACAACTTCTTCCTTAGGCCTGGCAACTCATTCATATGAGCAATACCATATACCAATGACTCCCATGTGCCATAATTGATGAGGCCTCGTTCGCGTGACTCAGCCTGAAATTCTGGTGGCAAATACGACTCTAAGTAAGACTCCACAGAGTTAAGAGTACCAGCGAAATGTTGTTTCAGGAAGATTACTCCCATATCAGCAGGAATGCTATCCCAACCACACGCGCTAACGATAAATACTCCGGCTTGCCGTGCTTGTTCATCATAACGGATCTGCATTGTTTCCATGAACTGGGGTTCACCACTTACATCTACATAATTAGTCTTGTTTTCCACAGCCGCTTTGACGACAGGTTCCCCATACTTGCGGTAAGGCCCACAGCAATTAACAATCATCTTAGTTTGGACACACATATCTTTGAGAGATTTATCATCATCTATATCTGCTATTATGACTTTCACACTCGAAACATCTTCTCCAGTCTTTTTGGATACCTCTGTCATCATAGAGCGAAGTTTCGCTTCCGATCGACCGGCAACTCCCCATGATGCAAGGTCATATTTCTTAGCAAATTTTACCATATGTATTACAGCTTGCTTACCCGTAAAACCCGTAGCGCCGAATATTACGAGGTCTAAACGTGACATTGCAATAAAATTTATGTACAATTAATTAATACCGGTCTACACTGGCACTGAGACAATATCAAAGAGTATACTAAGTACAGGAGTAACAGCAAAATACAAACAAGTCACTAATCATCAATAATGTCAATAGATATTAGACGTCTACCGTCGACGGTGACCTACCGGTACTAAAAAAAAATAGCTACCTCCAATATAATACCTCCATATATTATTTACCTCATTCATATCAGAGCGATAATATTAACAAACAATAAGATCCGTTCAAAGTTCAATGCCAAGTTCAATACTATGATTGTGTTGTTTTTGCGTAGATTCCGCCGAAAAAAAATACTATAAAAATAAGTACTAAATATCTACTACCTAGTACCTACTTAAAGTAGGTAGATTCAGTAATGTGTATGAATATTGTCATGATTTTACATCATTTTTAATAATTAGGTACCTATAGGTTCTAAGTATCTATTGTAAAATAAAATTTTATTGTAGATGTAGCATAAGCGCCTATAGCGCCACCCGCTCGGCCACCGGCCAGAGGTAATGAGATTGAAGGAAGGGCAATAAGGGAAATATACTAACAAGGCTTGACTTGACTCAACTCTCAACTGCATCATGAAGCAAGCCAAATACTTTGTATTTATTTGACATTCTGAAACTGTGTGACACTCTGAAATTCTATGGACGGAGAAAATCAGTGCCATCCAGTAAGATGTTAGGTGTGTTTCTGTTATATTATCAGGTATTTATATTAAGTACATTAGCAGGTATTATATTACAAAAAAAAGATACCGGCCAAATTGAGCACCTCATCCTTATTGAGAAGTCAAAATTCTAGTTTGCCATCATAATTATCCTAAAAACACAATTAAGTACCATGTAACATAAACATCACATGGCTAATGATTAAGTAGGTATACCTATAATGTAATGTACCTATAATTATAATAGCGTTCAAAAGAAATATAAAAACTATAGCTAGTCTAGCTATGACTGCTGAAGAACTACCTAAGCCGATGATTTGGGTTCGGTTTTGAGCTCGAGTAACGGATAAGTTATAGTAAGTTTTAATCCGAGTGTTTTGTTTGAAGCATGCTTCAATGAAAAACTATTGGTTCCTAAAAATAGGTACCCATCTTAGTGGAAATGTGCTACCATATAAGAAGGTAGATACTTGTGAACAGATTTTTCACAAAAGAGAAGTTTCAATCATACCTGTAACATTGAATTGAAACGAATTTTTAACAATACAATAATAACTTTTTAACGATGTTCCTTTTTCGATTTAATATTTGAAAACTCTTAGGAATTCTGTAAATAATGTTTTTTTTATAAAAGACGATTTAAAGGTTTCATTTTTATAATTATTAATGATTTCAAATGTACTTTTTATAGCCACAGCCTACACACGACCACAACACGCTGGAAAAATCAATTCGACAGGATCAATTTCATGCATTAAGATTTTAGCCCATCATTTTTTGAGCTGTGGTAACACTTTTAAGTCACTGTCAATTTTTAGAAAATCACTTCACTTGTCAGTTGTCAAAGCTATTTGATTTGAAATTTTTCCTAAATGTTTTGTAATACCTTTGCATGACATACAAAATAATTACGGTCTTTAATAATGTAACAGAAAAGATAAGAAAAAAAGCAATATAATGTTCTTCAGAAATGTATGGTGTGCGGCCGAGACGACGAATAGTTGGTACGGTAAATTATAATAAAGGTTATGTTATTGAAAAATTGTAGGTTTATAATTTTTTTCTGCTTTTTAGTAGACCGTTGCTTCTCCAGCAAGGTCGCGGAAGCCTCAGCAACGTTCGGGTGGTGGTTCGCAATTCTTTACACAACAGTCGACGAGGCGCCCGGCGCACGGCCCTCGAGCCCGATCCGTTGTCCCAGATACAGATAGAATCAGGACCACTTCATGCTAGAGTCCTTTGGAAGCCTTTCTTTTTCACAGTTGGGGTGAGATTATGTTTTCTTGTTAGTCGTGATATTTACATTTTCTCATTTTAATCTAAGATACCTTCTTAATAGAATTCTAATTAGATACCTATTGCATCCATTTGAATGTTTCCACGCAAAGGCTATATTAGAACATTATAAACTGCCTTTATTCTTCCAAGGTATCTGCAGTAAGTCTCACTGGCTGCTTTATATGGGAATATGAGAACCTACGCTTACATGCCTCATCTTTTCTCAAAAAACCTGGCACCTGGTTGAGTGCTCAGCAAAGAAAATTTAAAACACATCTTGTAAGTATTTTTTTGATATAATGAAGTAAACAAGTTTCCTAGAATAATTTCCAATTAGGTCTTTTTTATTTTAGCAAAAAGCTGAGCCTGGTCCGCTTACCAAATGGTGGAGGTCGTTAAGAGACAGTGAGAAAGTCTTTTACCCAATACTGGCTGCAAATTTATTGGTGTTTGGTGCTTGGCGTGTGAGGTCCCTGCAACCCTACATGATTAAATACTTCTGTTCTAATCCATCTGGAAGTAAGTTTCTAATAAATGATAACTATGAATCAATAATTATTACTTGTGTAAATATAAGTAATGCCGATAATTTGAAACAGGTTCACGATGTCTTCCAATGTTGTTGTCTACATTCAGCCATTACTCTGCAATGCATCTGGCCGCAAATATGTATGTTCTTTACAGCTTCATGCCTGGTAAGTCATTTATACAATATAATGATTAAAACTGAATCTTTGTAAAATCAATATGCAACACAATGGAATAATTACACTTGAATGGTGTAACTACTATGTATGTGGCAGTCATTAACACTTTCACAATAGGGTGGGTCACATGATTTATTTTTTTAATACCCGTCTTATTTTTTAATCATTACACAAGTTAAGTAAATTAAGTAAAAACACACAAGTATTTATATTTTCTTACAGAAACAAATACTTTCGACAATTATATTGATTTGAAATATTGCATGACATCACTTTTGTGTATGTTTTATGCTAAAACATGACATAACTAATTTGTTCTATTTATGTACTTACAGCTGCAGTAGCATCATTAGGAAAAGAACAATTTGTAGCCATGTATTTAAGTGCTGGTGTAATAAGCAGCTTTGCAAGTTTTGTCTACAAAGTTGCACTAAATCAACCTGGCCTTAGTCTTGGTGCAGTAAGTATATAAATGATGTGCTAGACACTACATTCAAATATTAATTTATACAATAATAATTATAGAAATATCTTTATCATTATATAGATAGATCAATAAGATCTGTTACTTTTTACACTATCAATGTATTTTATTGCAAATAAGAAAAATTTGTACCTGATCAAGATAAATTCAGTCATCAATATAAAAATCTATAGTATGATTTGCCTTTGTTTCAGTCTGGAGCAATAATGTCGGTGTTGGCGTATGTATGTGTACAGTATCCTGATACCAGGCTCAGCATTATCTTTCTACCAATGTACACATTTGCTGCTGGCACGGTAAACATGGCATCTTTTTCTTGTACATTAGTTAACAGTATGAAGTATACAAAGTAAATGTGTTGTAGGTGTTCAAAATATATTTAGAGGGTTAGATATCAAAACTTTCATAATAATCTTACAGGCTATCAAGGTTATTATGAGTGTTGACTTTGCTGGAGTGGTATTTGGATGGAAATTCTTCGACCATGCTGCACATCTTGGTGGTGCTTTATTTGGCATGTGAGTACATAAATTATTAAAACCTTTTCAGTAAAGTTTATCATATTGAACAATAATAATATTAAATAATTATTGTTTAAAACAGCATGTGTGCCAGATTATCAAAAAAAAGGCGAGACTACTGAAAAATTTGTTGTTTTTCCTTCATGTTGTGTTTATGTACATACATACAAGCTATTAACTAAGGTAGGTTTATAGTGCAAATATTAGTGAAGGTAAGATCTTGACAACACAACAAACCACAGAAAGTACTGGTATAAATATTGATTTCTTTTACAGGGCTTGGTGTCACTGGGGTAGCTCAATTATATGGGGGAACAGAGATAAATTCCTGCAGTATTACCATACTTTTAGGAAAAACGATACAGGCAGATAGCAACTTGACATAGTGAAAATAATAGTAAAACAATTTTTGTTAAGAAAATATTATGAATGTAAAACTGACAAATTATTTTTAATGTTTGGTAAATAGCATTTCTTTCTATTGTTGTGATAAAAATTTGGCTTTTCTTTGTATGTTTACAGAAAAGAAAATATTTGTAAGTAACAACTTTATTTCAAAAATAAAAACGGATATTAATTAAAAATGCATTATTGAATTACATTGACTTTGTCAATAAAGGTTTCTTTGATTAGGCCTTCAATATCTTGGCGTGGAAGTCGAAGTGTTCGCCAATGTAAGAGGCTATGTGGTAGTACGAGTGGTCGTAACCTTCACGTAACTTTAGTATGACTGGGACGCCCACTGAACGACACGCCTCTACCAAGTTTTCCGGTAATAATTGCTTGTCTACATAAAATTGGTCAATTGAACCCTGGAACACGAGAAAAACAGGTTATAAAAGTAAGAAACAATTTCGGGATAAGACTGATCGAGTATATTGATTAAATAAAAATACCTGGTCAATGAGTAAAGTGAGTGGAGGTCCATCATATTTCTTGACTAGTTCTGTAGCATCCCATTCAACCCACTTGCTCTTATCATCTCCCAAGTATCCACCAAGGGCCTTGACACCCCATGGGCCTTGAATAGGGTTGCAAATAGGAGCAAATGCACTAACTGACTTGTACAACCCAGGGTTCCTGAGTGTTGATATTAAAGCTCCATGACCTCCCATGCTAGAAATTAGAGAATAACAATATTAGTTCTGGCTTCCTCTTACATGGGACTTATAATAAACCTTCCTACACAGACAATTCTGAGCCCAACTTTGTTTTTTGTAAATACATTCATGACACAAGAAAACTGACATTGGATGGCTTTTTATGATAATAAGACAATGTTGTATCATTATAAATATACCTAATTAAGTAATTAGCAATAACACATCTGATAATGTTTTATCTTACATTCAACATGACATAACTTACAAAAGCTATTCCTAAATGGAAATGATTATGATAAATTAAAAACCATAAATATGACAATAAAAAAAGACTATAACAGCTTGCAAAAAGGTAAAACCTGTTTCAATACCAGCTTTGCCCTAAATAATTTATCAGTTAATAAAATAATGTTGGTTGGTAAGTAAATTGACATTTTACCTGTGTCCCATGATGCCAATTCTGTCAGGATCAACTACATTGTTAAAAGCTTGCTGAACTAATTCATACAATTCCTTATTCACATAACTAGCCATTCTGTAGTTTGTTGACCATGGCTCTTTAGTGGCATCTACATAAAATCCAGCAGCAACACCGAAGTCCCAGGAGTCATCATCACCTGGAATCTTTACTCCTCTAGGAGAAGTGTCGGGACCAACAACTATTATACCATGGTCTGCTGCATACCTGCGCATAAATAAACAATTATTACATTTTAGGCACAAATAGATATAGGTAAAGTATAAAACACAATTATGTACCTTGTTTTTCAAGTTTAGAAATAAAATTATGTGTGCCTATATTACATGATAAGTATGATAGTTTTGATAACAACAATAATTAACAGCTATTGTTAGTAATATAATTATAATAATCTGAAAATAGGGTCAAGAAGCCACATAAACATTTTTTGGTATCAACTCAAGCAACTTGTTCCATATTATCATACACATCTTCATATTTAGCAGATCAAAAAAAATTGAGTACTAGTATAATTTTATAACTAAAATACTTTTCAATATTCAGAATGCCCTAAAACATCTCATAAATGACAAATAAATATTATTGACTTATTTTTAGTAAAAGCAACTTTCTTTTCTTACTTGGAATCTTGACCTAACAGTGAATATAAAAACCTTATATTCATAAATGAGAAGTGATTCATGTTTACAGTATTTTAATAAATACATACATTTTAATATTATTTACCTTTGGAAGCCTGATTTAGTGATGAAATTTTGCTCACTGCAAGTAAGTCCTGAGAGGTAGAAAACAACTGGTAACTTGACATCACCACCTTCAGCCTGTGGTGGCAAGTATACTGAGAAGTTCATCTTACATTTTAATTCAGATGACTGATGGGAGTACACTTTTTGGTAGCCCCCAAATATCTTGTTTGATGAAACCAGTGAAAGTTGATCCATGGTTGTTTTCTGAAAAAAAAAAATATTACAACTTTGGGATGACTACATAAATACTACTTTAACTAAAATTAAAAATTAAATTACACATTAACGAATAATTTCAAATTATACATGTTAAGACAGTAAATTATTGACAAATGCAAATAAGATTAAGTAGGTACCTATTTAAAAAAATCAGTAATTTTCGTTTGCTTAGCTCTACATATCTTTTATTATGAAGTACCTAAATAAACACAACTACTATTCAAAATCGCGTTACATGTACAACCATTATTTAACATAAATAATATATTATCACGATGAACATATTTTTATTTTCCTCGAGGCATGATTTTGCAGATAATCTGAAGTAAATAAATAGTAGGAACCCATTATCATTCTAACTTCAATTTATTGCAAAAAGATCAATATAAAATACACTAAATATGTAGGCTAAAATAAATAACCAAAATATAATTTAAGACACCATATTACTACTTATCCATGCGCTACTCCAAGGTCATAAATTATTGATTCGCTAGTACTACCGAAATAGTCAAGGCCGCTCTTTTTTACTATAAGCCGGCCGGCCTGGCTTCCTTTTAGTATAATTTTATTATGCACTAGTATATTATTATGTATTAAGTTTGCCTAAGCTTACCTGGCTTCACGAAAGGCACGTAGCACTACAATGAATTAAGACGGGCACAACTTAACATTAAATAAGTAATACGCGAATGGACACTAGATTGTGTGAATATTTAAGAGCATGTGAACTGTGAACTGACGATAATTTTATTATCACTACCCAATATTGCAGAACTACAACTGTTAAATGGTTCAATTTACGGACTGCTACTAATTTATATTGGTTGAATGACTAGCTGGACGATGTAGCATGAAGTTGCGAATAAATCAGCAAATTAGCTTGAAGAAGAAGAGATTATTATAATAGAAATCTTTATAAACTTACAATCACACCGCACCACAATGTTATCAAAAAGATAATGAATGAAGTGAATGATGATGACAGCAAAATGACAGAACTACAAATGACATTGACAATAAATTACACTCAGTCATGAATGACAAGCACGACATAGCTACCTTGCAAAAATAATACTAGTCATTATCTATGTAGGTAATTCTGTATTTAATTATTTATGTTGTTAATACTCTGAGGGCCTAATATTCACAAAAAATTAGAGTACCTATAACAACACTCTACTAACGCACTCAACAGCAAAAGTATCCCGATTTCTCCGTTCCCGTAGGATTAAATGAAAATCCGGGTCTCCAGGTTCTAACTGTTCTAAGCCCTCGCCACCGATTTTCAGTCAAACCGATTTAGAAGTTCTTGAGTAAAGTTATAAATAGTGCCTATAATACGACTTTTATAGGTTTAGACTTATTTAGGTAGGTTCCTATTGGTTTAAGTTCCTACATATTATACTTTATATTGTATAGTAGAACAATTAAGTATATTTAATGCTTATAGGTCAATAAGTGGCAATAGGCCCCTGAAAGCTTACGTTAGATGTAAAAAACATTTATATAGGAATCTATAGAATAAAAACTAGTCTATTTAAGAAAATAAAAATAACACCCGCTGGAAACCCAGACAGTTCTTATGGAGAATTTTTAAGTTGAAAAACCCATCCATTTGGTATATGTTCAGAAGGTCGTTTGATCAATCTATGGGTAATTTGTTTGTTTAAACGCACTAATCTTTTGACTGCACGATTGGTACGATGGCTCAGCAACCGGCTGCAGTGCAACGTGTAGCAGGTTCGATTCCCGTACGGTGCAACTATTAGTGTAACTGTGATCCACAGATTGTTGTTTCGGGTTTATGTGTCATGTGTATGTAATATTGCATGTTTGTAACCGCACCTACGACACAGGAAAAAATGCTTAAAAAAATAGTGAGGAAAAGCTTTTTTATGCTGAAACTATACTGGTTCCAATTTAATTTTTTTGGTGGATATTCTATTAAGGAAGGCTGTAGATCATCAAATATCACGGTGCGATCAATAGGAACTGAGCAGCGTGTGAAACTGTGTGGGTAGTAGCTAGTACATACATTATTTATTATAAAGTCAATTGTTGAGGTATTTACATGGTTTGGATATCAAGTAAAATAATGTTTCACAGTAACACTTAGTACATTTGTAATGATTAAAAAACATTGTTTTTTACTACAGACAGAATAAACATAACAAAATTATAGGCTAAACCCCATTAACTTATTACTAACGAAAAATTTGTAACAGTTCAATGTGAAACTTCCTTATTTGTGATGGTAATGAGTGAGACACTATTCAATATTGATACATTTATTTTTCTATTTTTTAAGTATTTTACAATTTAACCCATATGCTAGTGCTATGATACTGAACTATGTATAGGTATTTATTTTTGTATTGCTATATTTTCGGAATTCTTGTTTGTTTTCCAAGACAAATATGTGTTCCAGAATAATGCAACTACTTGAACTAGTAAAACTTGGTATTGGAGGGGAATATAATAAAAATTTACTATCTGAACCCATGGCCAGAGGCAGTAATTAGTCTTTAAGACATCTATGTAATTGTTTTCCAAATCACTTTTAATGTTAGTCCAATCCTTGCCCTGCAAGGCTGCTACTGCACTCAGAATTCCACATAAGAATAAAGGTGCAAACATAATTTGGTCAATAAATACTTTCTTCAAAGCAACTGTTTTGCCACTGGAACCTATATACTTGTATAAGGCTCCATACCAAAGTCGCAATGCCGGTCCCTAAAATGAAAAGTGTATTATTTATTCTGATAATATTCAATATAAAGTAAATTAGTATCTCTACATGCATGATAAGATATGCTTATCTACTTTTGAAATAATGTTGATATTAACACTGTGTACTCTGTCTCATCAGATTAGTGACTGTATGTGTGGACATTAAGCAAGAGGTCTTCAAATAATCATTTATAATTATTGATGTCTGATTCGAGCATAATATTAATAGAATTTATGATTTTATGTGGTTGTACACACACACACGCACATAAAATTAAAAGGAAAACAATGATCGTAGATACTTACACCAACAAAAAAGCCTATTGAAGAAAATTTTAAAGTTCTTGTAATGTCGACCTTTGTGATGTGCTTACGTTCAATGAAAGTCTGACTTATTAAATCACCGGATCCCATTAGGACTCCAGTTTGCACGGCTTGTACCAAGTATGGTCTTCGTTGTAAAGTATCTAGGTACAGCTTAAATAAACCGCGAAACTTCATATTCGACTGAGACATCGTAATGTTGTCTGTTGACTAGAACAAAGTATTTTGCTATTTTTCAGCATAAGTTAACCTTAAAATTTTTACACCGATTTCCGATACATGGTGTACCGTTTAATAATATGAACACAGTATTACAATATTTGTTGGTTCAGCGGTAAGCTAGCAGCATTTACATTCCATGAAATGCATCAACTTATTTATTACGCTTTGATGAAATGAACTAGTAGATATGTATGGCCAATGGCAGGCTGAATACGGCGGCAGATGAATGAATTGAAAATGAAATGATGGATGATGGATCATGCATGCATGTATTGATGATGGAATTGAACTTATGTCACTTATGTGACATTGACATTGACTAATTTGACGGTTGTACTCGTGCACTTGCCACTTCAATCATTATTTTGTAAAAAATCGACTAAGTTGGTTATGTACCTATTTTGGATAATTAATACAAAATAAATAGATATTTCCAGATTTGGGGAAGACTATATTACATTTATAAATTAAATTACTCGAACTAAGGCGGAAAGTCTATATAAAGCTTTTTGCGGCCAATCCTTGTCGAAGATATTTAATTTGTCCCACTATCTCCTTTTGGGCCTGTCGCGACGTCTACTGACATTATGTGGGCTCCACTCAGTAGTAAGCTCTGCCCACTGCTCATCTGACATGCGGCAGACATGACCAGCCCAGTTCCACTTCAAGCCTGCGGCTTTATGGCCAACGTCAACGATTTAGTCGTGAAGCGCAGCGTGGTGTTCCGAATTCTGTCCGATAGTCAAACTCCTAAGATACTGTGCTCCATGGCCCGCTAGAAAACCTTGAGATTCGACTTCTGATGTTTTGTCAAAGACCAAGTGAGCACCATAGGTGAGGATAGGCAGAATGCACACGTCCATGAGTTTCTTTTTGAGCGCTAATGGAAGATTACTTTCATTAGGTCTTTCATGTACCAATAGCTCTTCCAGGCGTTTCGGTGCGTTTTCCAGTTTGCACTCCGCAAGTATTTTAGTCGATTAACGAGAATTTAGTAGCTCAAGAGATACCAACAACGATGAAACACCAAAACAATAAAGCTTTCATAATATTATAGAAAATAACAAATCACTACTCAAGCCCAAGTTTGTGCGATGCTTTTTGTCCTCAAATCGAAGTAAAAGAGAGCTCCTAATAAATGCTTACTCGACGAAAATATTTGCGTAGTGCGAACAAGGCATCGTATTAATACCTGAGTAGTGATCCAATGATATGGATGCGCCGACGTTCTTAAATGTTTTGGTGTTTTCATCGTTATTGGTCTCTCTTTCTACTGCTGGATCATTATCATAGAAGTTTTAATACAAAGACAAAAAGAAAATGTAAAATAATACACACTTGTATAGTATAGTATAATTTATTCATTCTTTAATTCATTCGTTCCATTTTATACAGCTGACAACCCCGTCCGTTGTACAAGTGAGATGTCCGTATTATCGTAAATTCGTAAATTGTTACGGATTGTCTTAGTTTTGCATTATAATTTCTTGTTCACATTGTAATAAACCGTTTAATATATTGGATTATTAAGATGGATAAAAGGAAACTATCGACTGCGGGGGATAGCCTGTATCAAATACTGCAAGTCCCAAAAACGGCTACACAAGACGATGTCAAGAAAAGCTATCGGAAATTAGCGTTAAAATATCATCCCGACAAAAATCCCAACAATCCTGAAGCTGCCGAGAAATTCAAAGAAGTAAATCGTGCACATACGATTTTAAGTGATGGCACGAAACGAAATATATATGATAATTATGGATCTCTTGGTCTTTACATTGCTGAGCAATTCGGCGAAGAAAACGTCAACGCCTATTTCGTGGTGACAAGCACTTGGTGCAAGGCCCTGTTTATTGTTTGCGGCATTTTGACCGGATGCTACTTCTGCTGCTGCCTCTGCTGTTGTTGCAATTGCTGCTGTGGCAAGTGCAAACCACGTCCGCCCGAGGAGTCGGTGATTATCACACACTGGAGCGGGATGATTCAGATGGCGTGCAAGCCGTGACTGTGCAGCCGGGTGGAGAAGGCCGCCCTAAGGGTGAACAGGCTCCTCCCATCGCTATGCCTGCTCCTCCTCCTGCTGGAGCTTCAGAAAACACCGGTTTGAACACAGGTGGGGTCAATTATGGAATTTCAAATTAAACTAGCAAAACAACAGTACTACATCAAATGTCAACCCCTTATTTAAGTACCTATAAGTATCTTCAATATAATATTTTTCAGTTGCGTTACAGTTTATTAATATAGGTAGCAATCCAGTGAAGAATTTTGTATTTATTTTCATATCAATTTGGGGTAAAGGTTGTTGGACATACTTACTCTTTCTAAACAACAATCTTGCGAAATATGTAATCAATTTGATCATATTGTTATATAATAAGAATTAAAAATATATGCATGAAGTCAGTCACTTGGATTAATTTCTATTCTTTCAACCTAATTTATTGTGACATACATCTTATAAAGGTTTATGTTCATCCAAATAACTTAAAAAGTATAACCATATATTATTATTACCATTAGTGAACTTTTGATAGATATGACCACAATTAAATGCAGGCTGATGTTTTAATTGTTTTTTATCATGGATGGAGTTGATTTTACAAATAATCAATCTGATTAGTGATGACAGTTGTAATGAATCTTAACTATGTCAACAGAGAATTTACAAAGTGAGTTGATTGCTTAAAAAGGTGAATAATACACAAAAATGTTACATAAAGTATATTTGTAATATAATTATTTAAAGTTAACTTGTTAACACCACACAAATTTGAAATTGATAGGAATAATTAATTCATTTAAATAAATCAAGATATAACTATGTCATATAAAAGCAATGACCATTGTGATTTATGTGAAATATGATGATTGATATAAAGGACATCCTTTGGAATACAATATAGATTATACTTGGGTACCTATTCATACACCATTCTTTATTCATTCTATGCTTGATGTATCCCATTTTTCAAGATTGGTGTTGGTACTGGTCTTTTCCCACTGCTCTTGTATATCAGAATCTAGATTGTCCATCATTAAATATTACTTACTATATTATGAAGTACTTCAATTTGGCCTTAAAGTAATAAATAAGAGTAAAAATAGTTCTTGGACTAATATTTTGTAGTTGAAAGTGCTTTGTAGTATATAAGCTGACAGTATTTTACAGAATCTTATAAGATTTATGAGACTTCCAATTAGCCAAGAGTATATTAGTGGCAAAAAATCAGTATTGAATGTTGCCCAATAGTAGTTATTTTCTGGTGTACATACCTAATTCTCTTCAATTTATTGTTAGTATGCATACTACATGTGTAATTACATGTAATGTGTCTTATACTAAGGCTGCAAATCATTGTAGTCTTTTAATTTATTCTACAAACTGTATGCATATGCATATTGTGCTTGTGTTCACTATTATAAAACTCAAATCAGATGGATTTTAATTAATCACAATGAATGATATCTTTCACTAATGTTAATATTTTAAGACCTAGAATCTAGGTCTAGGTCCTAGATACTTGTTTACTTTTTAATGATGATTGTCACTATAATATAGATACAGAAAAGTATCAATTTGATATCATTAATAAAACACACTATTCATTGAGGTTCTCATAGTACTACAACTGTCAAAAAAGTGATACAATGATCACACATTTTCGATATTTACGGTCAAATAGTTTAATAATGGACCGAAGCAATCAATTAATATCACTTGTAAACCATGCTTTTTCCATAAGTTGTTTAAAATATGAGTTAGGAAACAGATTGAAAAACATCAAGCCTCATTGCTAATCAATTGCTTATTGTATATGACAATTTCAATGTAGCTTTAGGTGTCGATTAGGTAGTATTTTATTAATTAGACTACATTAATCAGTATGTGTATTGAAATTCATTGGGATTCTGCTTATTGATTTAGTATTTACAATAGCTTTATTTCATATGAATATAAAATTCATGTAGTGTAAATTGGCAGGTTATTAAAGATTATTTCATACATTAAAGATATCAACGAAAAGTTTGTAATGTAAAGTCAATTGCACGGGGCTATGGAGTGCTTTTGACTCATTACCCAAGTATTGCTAATAATACTAATGCACAGTTCAAAGTTTGCTACATTTTACACTGACATTCCAGCTTAGTATAGTTGTAAAAATATATTTACCATCACATTTACCATAAAAAATTTACCACAGTGATCCCTCTAGCAAGAAATTGACCTCTGGTTGGACAATGACACAATTAATTGGGTTAAAAGTTACAGACATGGCCTGCCGTAGGACGCTATAGTGATCTCATTCATTAAAACAATATTTGTCAACTGGTAGGGTTTTTGATTATAGGTGGCACTACTGTAAAATTTTATAGTTGATTTTAATCGTGAGCTCTCGCTTTGTCCACTAGGATATTATGATATGTATATTATTATAGTTTTGGTATTTTTATAGATTGTACCAAATCTAAACATATGGAAGCTAAGTTACATCAATTGTTATTAAAAAAAATTAGAACCCACTATGTAGAAAAACATTTTAATAAAATAATCGAGAACCATTCGCATTCTGTGTCAAAGAAAGAAGATTACATAATTAAATTAAGGTAAAATAAAAATTGGAGTACCTGCTAATAAAAAAGTATAGACTGCCAGATTGGTGCAGTGCCTGGGCAAGCCGCTACTGCGCAACATGTTCGTTTCGTTTTTGTTCGCGTCTGAGCGTGATTTGTACAATTATGAATTTATAATGTTTGTAAACATATTTTGAAGAAAATGTGGGGCCCCATTAAAAAAATGAAATAAAATAATAATTTGTTTGTTGAGGTTGCCCAAAAGATTATATTACACACTAGCTCAATTTACTTGTTTTGCAGTTTTTTCTGACATTCTGTTTTCCATTTTTCTTTTCTGTACTTACTTCCTTAAAGTAACACATGTTCTTAAACTTTATAATGTTTTATCTAACTGGGTTTTTCTTTAAAGATAATACAAAATACGTGTCTTATTTTATATTATTTATTTTTTATCTGTCTGACGGATTAAATAGATGTTTAATTTTCGTGCTCTGTTAACATCCTTATTGCTATGAAATGTGGTCGTGCCATCAGACTGAATAATACATTTCTGTCCATGACATAATAGATATTAAGTGCAAAGGGCGGTATCCTCAATTCTGTATTCAAAAGATGATTGACCGCAAGAATGTTCAATAAACATACGAAGCAGTTTCGACCGAACATTGAAATGCCACTCGGATTAAGTATATCACTTTTTACCTGACTACGGCGAAGCCAAAAGGAGGGTTATAACATGTCTCAATAAGGTAGATGACGATAAAGTGAGCTAAAAGAGATATAATTTTACACAAATTCTATACAAAATGTGTAAAAAATCTATCTCTAGTGGCTAAACTTATCGAAATATATCCAAGCTATTGAGACTGGTCGTTAATAGGGTAGATGACTAATTTTTATTTTAATTTCCGTCTGGTAGATTATTTAAAACATTAGACACGTATTTTTTATTTTCTTACGGAAACGAATAGTTTCGAAGATATATTGATTTGAAATATCGTACAACGTCACTTATGAGTACGATTCATACTCTAAAATGACGTAGTTACCTCCCACTCCTAAATTGATGAAATTGATTCGTTTGTATTGTTTTCTTATATGACAAAATAAAAAAATATGTGTCTAATATTTTTTCAATACCTAACTGACGGACAAATTAGACTTTTAATTTTCATAACCTATCATCATCCCTATTGTGAAATACTCATAAGATTATAATATGGAAATTAAGTTGAGTTGTATAGGGTACCTACCCTATTGGAGTGTAGGTACTTAGATGGCCTATATTTTCTTGGCTTTTACCATGGTTAAATTTGGGACAGTCTATCTATCACTATAATGGTATAACTTGGTGTAAGTAGGTACATATCTTGTTGTACTGCTACAATATTGTACTACTATTAAACTCTCCGTGATTTTTATCTACCGGTACCTATATGTATTCTAGGAGTATTCTGTGAGGACTCTAAAACCAGAGTGATATTAAGGAGATTTTTACCAAGAATGAGATTGGATTGTAATGGCGTAGAAAACTGGAAATTATTTCAGGCTAAAGTTACCTGAATGTAAATGTACAGGGACGCATTTAGATTAATCTTTCCTGAAAGAATTATAATATTTCTGTGCCATTATGAATTAAACTAATTATAAGTAGAAATGTGACATAGAGCATTGAACTCTGTTTTTAGCGTCCTCGAGTCCGTATTTTGTTGATCAATCAAAAGGACCTATGTATCGTAATTGTATTTTGTAATCATTACTTTAGTTAGCTCTTCAATGTTTATTATCATTGTTTTAATTTTGTTATCATAAGCTAAATTATTTAGCATTAATAACTAGTTGTCGACCAAAATTAAACTTATGAGGTAATTTATAAGGTATAATTAAAATTTCGACAATTCAATTCGAGTCTTTAGAGTGTATTAGACAACATTTTTTCCTCACAACCTACGGATCCTTTTTTACATAATTTGCTAGCAATAATTTCTGGTTTTCCTCATAGGATTTATGTGAGCTTTAATTGTTTAAATAAGGAAATGTTATTTGTAATTGACGAAGTGTTTAATACAGTTAGGGTTTCTTCGCTAATAAAATTTAACTTTGAGATCATTATCCAGTTAATACAGATATTATAATGCTTTGGCAACGTAAACATTTGTACGTGTTGCGTTGCTGTACGATATCATTGTGCTGTGTATTATAACACTTATTGCCACACAGTCTCGTGTACCTATTATACAAGGGAATTACCGAATCTTTCTTGTTGCTTATAAATGTATGCCTCTATTATGTACGATAAGAATACTATTGCGATGAAAATCGGTCGTTTGTTATATGTATAGACAATAGAGAAGTTAGTAATATCGACTTGTAAACCACGGCCAGTTCGGCAAATTAATGATTTACAAAATTTTAATGAAACTTTAAGCTACACATTTTGAATATTACACTGTTGAATTTTTAACTAAATATGACATTATTATATTGCATTAGTTTCAAATGTGTGTGATATTGTAAATTATTGTAGTTGTTGTTGTACCCGTTCGAAAATGATAAAACTTCATTAATTACTTAAATTAATGTTCTAATGGCTCACGCAAGTGCGAGCAGGGAAATGGACTAACTGTTATGTCTCGTGTATATTATTATAAAGTTATGGTACTAGTCAACGAGTATTTATAACGACAATGTCAAGGAATAAGAATGTTAAAATGTAACTACACTTATAAACTTTCAATTAAATAAAATCTACATAAGAAATGTCATCTATTATTGAAGTAACTCCTCTCATTTTAATTAGTTTATTATAAGCTGACATACCCGTACTTTTTGAAAACTCATAATAATTTTAATATATTTCTTCTTGTTTCCAGGAAGCAGTATTCCAAAATACACATGAAGTATTTACAACTAGTCTAACATTATTTGTAAGAGAAACGAGGAACGTACTTGTATAACCACCAGCATGAACATAGGTACAGATGTAAGCCTAAATAAAGTTATTGTTCATCATTTTAAAATATTTTTTATACGTTTATTATAACATTTTATTATAATTTTCACTTTAAAATATATTATACATCGCATCGTAAAATTGTTTTTATTAATTAATGTTTATTAAAAATGTTAATTAATTCAATTCTTGCCGTAGATTAAAAAAATTGGTGATGGTGACTAGGATTTTAGATACTTTTAATTTAGAGATAAACTTGTAAAAGGCCATATAAAATAATCAGCATGTACCTATGTATATTCATGTAAATATTATTATTTTTGTGTGACTATATCCAAACTTGTTTCACACGTAAGATTTTTGATGATGTATTTATACTATGTATTAAAAACCGAGAAATTAAAAAATATTCGTCCAGGGCTTCCTGTATAGATTGCATTTGCTTGTAGATTGTTATTGGCTGTTAGCGCATCTATGGCACTGTATTATCGTAGCTATTCTGGTTGTAATATTTATATTACGTACTGATATTATGTAAATAAAGTATAACATTACACACCAATATGACCTTGTTACTAAATCAAATAATTCTAATACATCCACCAAACTTCATTAACATTTGTGATGTGCGCCATTGAGCCATTCAGAACGTTAACATGAAACTACCTACGACAGCTATTGCTATTATTAATGAAAGTACGGGAATGTAAACATTTTTTTCGTTTGTTTTGTAATTTTAAATAATTTTTCTCCGGTGCATGTTAAAGAAAACTTAAATATTGACGTATTTTAAAAAGACATTCTCATAACAAGTTTATCTCGTCGAGAGGTTCTGACGACAACCTTACTTGTCGTGGCAGACTCTGCGGGTAAACGAGTTATATTTGAATAATGAATATTAAGTGGTTCATTAATTTAGCAGTTTTATTTGTGGCGAGTGATAATCTAGTGCAATCATTCAACATATCGGTATACGACATTTGTCCCTTATATAAAAAGGGCGCCAGCTTGAATATACACGACGTGGTTGGACGTTGGATGACAGTCTACACGCAACCGAGGGCGATAGATTGCTTTAAATTTCAAGTTAGAGCAACTACTGACTTGGTAGGTTACCTCTATATCCTACAACGTTTTGTCGATACCTGCGTTGGATCCAATATCTTAATCAGTTTGTAGAAAGCATTAAAATGGTTCTACCTAATTTGTTCACACCTAAATAGTAACTAGTAGGTTTTATTTATCAGATTAAGGTGAAGATAATCAGATTTACTTTACTATTATTCCATATATGACATTACACAGCAATTGCAGTTTCTATCACCAACCAAATTGATTAATAGATTTGGATCCCGCAAACTGACTGATGTACCTATCACACTGGTGATCCTCGTGTGTATTTTGTAATAACGTAAATGATGTGTATTTAGGAGCGAGAACAATACGTAATAAAATATGGAGAGTTCGACGGCCGCGTGGACTGGAACCTTTGTCTCTTGCAAGTGGAGACAATCGCAGGGAAACACTTCTTAATGGGTAACGGTTCCGAATCAGGACTCCTGGAAAATATTATTATAATGGAGAACAAAAATGGTAAAGTGGTTCTCAAGTACCTATTTACATTAAAACATACATAATTATACATTATTGTACATTTAAAGCAGGACATGAATTTAGTGAGTAGATACCTACTAGATAAGTAAGCGTCTTATCTCAGTGCAAATTCTTAGATATGCTGATACCACGCTGACTCACCAGTGGTAAACAGAAACTGTTAATGAGTAATGTATGATAAACCTACTATTTGGATATCTAGAACACAAAAGCTACTAAAATTTTATTAATTTAATTATTTTACTAAGTACTGTACCGACACAAAAATGAATTAGGTACTTATACATTTAAAAATGTAAGTATTTGTCAACAGGCGACTATATGTTACAAAACCAGAGCGCAGATCAATGGATGTTGTTTGGTCGCCGCGGAAGTGAAGTGTTAATGATCCGTGATTGCTACGGGGAAACGGCGGCCGCGTTCGCGCGCGCCCCCTACTGGCCCTCCACGACCGAACTTAGTGCAATATTCCACCGCAGTGGCATTGCTGCACAAACTCGTGGACGCCTACTTTGCGAGCCTCACGAAGGACCCAGGAGGCAGCCGCATTATGTAGCCAGTTACTCACACAATACAAACAGGAATTACTAAGCAACGGCGACGTATCATTCAATCGTAGTGTTTTTAATATTTATAATGTTAAAATAAATTAAAAGAAAACTCGTTATGTTTAAAAAATATATTAATCTTTTGATTTTACAACACAAAATTTCCATTCATAAGGGTGACGTTGCGCCAACGTACAAAAAATATATAGGGCCGATTTGCAATTACTTCCAATTCTGGTTTTTGATCCCACTCTATGCCTGAAAAAAGCCATAATAAACATATTTATTGTAGTTTCATAACGCGATAGCATCAGAGATAATAACTAATTGATTGGGGGCTTATCTGTAGCGGTGTAATGTATGTAGTATAACCACAGTATGACCGCCACTTATTGACATTATATTTGGTGATAAATAAATAATGTTGAAGTGTTGTCCACGGAAATGGGGACCCTAGAAATATCCATGGATATAATAAATTCCTAATTAAAGCCTAGAGATTGGGTTTGTAATGTTGATGATGGACATCTAGGTCACATATTTAAGCGAGGGGGACTGGGATGCCGTCTCCTCCTTTTGCGAAGCAGTCATGCTAGCTAAGGAGGAGGCGGGACGCGTGAGGCAGCGAAGCGCTGCCTCCTCGCAACCCAGCCATCGCGAAGGACACACCGGGCGTCGGGGATCGCGAGACGATCTCCAGCCACCGTAAGCGCGGGCCTGCGGACGGCGAGCATGGCTCCCCGTCCGACCAGAAACAGACCCGAGCGTACGGCGCGTCGCGTTCTGCGCGCGCCTCAAAGTGCCATCAGACCACCACAGATGGGGCCCAATAGGGCCGATGCCGATTCGGAGTCGCGGAGAACCTAACGGGTAACCGGGGCTCCGGCTCGACGTGCAGGAGAAGGAACGGAGTGGTTTTTAGTCAGTAAAAGTCTGACACTCCCTTCCGCCTCACCCAGGCGGGAGCAGTCATTCGATGATTTTCCCCCCTTAAAAAAAAAGGTCACATATTTAAGGTAGGTATCTATATACCTATGTAATAGTATAGTACCCAATTATTTAGTAATAGGAACTATTAAAACTCACCGTCGTCTTTATACGCGTCTCGTCCCGCTTCCGCCCAGAACATGACGCGCTGTACAGCGTGTGACAGTCTCAGAGAGTGTGCATCCGTCACGTTGCTCACGTCCACTAGTCGCGGCATTCCCATCTAACATATAGCAGTAGTTTATTGAACCTATGATATATGTACCTAATTGACTTCGTCACTTGAGGAAATTAAAGTACCTACCTACCTATTTATCTACTACCTAGTTACTGTACCTATCTTTATTAATTCCTTTATTAGTATAACATGGGACCTACTAATAGAAAAATCTGTGTAGACTATATATTTGAACTGATTATTCGGTTTGCCTTGAATTCCTATAGACAGATTTCATTGTGACTACAATAGCATTAATAAGTTAACAGTAAAAAAATAAATATAAAGAGGTAATAAAAGTGTAAGTCTATAGAAATACAAAACCCACGTATTAGGTATATTACCCACTTGCTACATACCTACATTGGCAGTAAACCTACTTGTATATTTGCACTGCAGGAATCTAATCCTAATCTGTATTCTGTAAGAAAGGGTAGTTGCCTGCTATAAGAGAACTTGTATCTTCAGAATCCCCAACAGATATTTCGATGTCTCCATAAAATAACGTGGAAAGTATAACTTACTGCCTGCAATTTGTTAGGCAGTAGTAAGGTCATCCGAAGAGTGTAGATAGGTATAGTGGCGGCCACTCTCACTGTCTTCATTTTTGATATAATATCTGCGACGCTCGTGTCGCTGACATGCTGCGTCAGCTTCTTCAATGAGTTACTTCGAGGAACCAACATAAGGAGCGTGAGATCTGGTGTGGCGTAAGAAATCTCTAAAGCCTGAAATATAAATAAAATACAGCGTATAGTATAAGATCACGCCCTGTGTTCATTATAATTAGGTAACGTTCATAACATTTATTCATGGAGGTATATTGGTGGTTATGTACTTTTAAAACGGTTGATATTGTTTAGAGGCCACGGTGCCCTACGGTACGTGTTACGGTGCTAATGGATACCTATGTCGGTGATAAGGGCAATATCTATTTATAATAGGTATTACACATAACAGATAACAAAGGACTAAAAGAATAATGGGTCCCATGTCACAGATGTCATCTGCAAAATGTTGGTATCAACATTTATCTCAGGGGGCGGTTCACAGTATTGGGTTTCCATCGAAATTGTGTTGGGTTCTATTGATGAGGGCTTTCATAACTGCTGTGAGCATGGCGCCGCGCGGTACTTTCTACGCACTGTGTGCACTGTTAGCACTAGCTGCGCCCCTTGTGACTTGTGACTGCCCACCGGAACGAGAAGAAGCTACACACGATGAAGGCAAACTTCACAAGGATTTGCTTTGTGCGTATAATTACGACTTCCGACCAGTGAAGGATCACAAACAATCCCTTACAGTGAAAGTAAGATTCGCAATAAAGTATCTTAGTTTCGATTCGTTAGAAGAAACGTTTACTTTGCATAGCTGGGTAGCGATGATGTGGAAAGATGAGTTTTTATCTTGGAGGCCCGAAGATTACGGCGGTATAAAAGAAACACAGATGGAAAGTCATGAAATCTGGACTCCAAGGATGGCGCTCTTCAACGCCGACGCCTCTATGTATCAGTCCGACCAGATCTACACGACCTGTATGGTGTCAAACGAGGGCGTAGTGACATGCGTGCCTCACGTCGCTCACTCCGGGATTTGCCGCACGTCACTGCGTAGCTGGCCCTACGACGTACAAAACTGTACACTATACTTTGGGTCATGGATGAACACTGGGGAACAAGTCAACTTCACCTTTTACAATAAACAACCCATCGTAAGGGAAGACTACCAAGATGGTCCAGGCTGGAAATTGCTGAACGTGGTAAACGAACGTTTACCAGGGAAATATAGCTGTTGTCCGAACAGCACGTACCCAATGTTAAAATATACATTCATACTGAAGAGGATAGCAGCGGGACCAGCAGCTATCGTCGTGGTGCCTTCCATTGTGATAGTACTGCTGACTCTGGTGGCACTTGCAATGGACGCAAAAGACAACACTCGACTCATGTTAATCTGTTTCAGTCTGTACGGACATTTCATGTTTCTCACAGAAATTGGTTATGATATTCCGAAACACAGTGCGGACACACCGATCATATTACTGTTCCTTCGCGATTCGATGATAGTTACATTGGTTGGGATCATAGAAACCATATTTTTAATGTATTTAAGACGACGAAAGGTGCCAGCGCCAGGTTTTATTGTGTCAGTGAACCGGTTAGTGGCCAATGGTCCAGGTAAGTATGTTATTTTCACCGAGTTTGACCCAAGTGAGATGGACAGTGAGACAAAAGAACTGGCCGGTAATAGCTCTGATATCACTACCGACAAGCCGCCTGTTACATTCGACTGGATACAATTTGCTATTATATTGAACAGAATCAATTTCATGGTAATCGTCTTCGTTTATATTATACTAGTTGGCACCTACATTCCACACGATGATTAAATTTTTATAACACCACCCACCAACCACCACGTTAATAAGTTTGTGCCAGAGCCATTATTGTCATTCGCATTCTTAATTTCTGTATTCTAAAGTTAAAATAAATAAATACATAAAACCAGAGATGTAGTTTGGTGACTGACCTGAGCATCCCAATCCTTTAGGTCTGCGTATTTCATGATATCGTTGATCCTGATCATACGTACTGTGCGTTGGGGGGCGTCGTCTGCGTCGTGGAAAGGCTGCGTGCCGTTGAGGACAGTGGGCGAGGCTCGCCAGCGTCCGCGCATGTACAGCGTGGTCATAAATACCGCGATCACACCTCCCGATACATCTCCTTCATCAAAGGTATCGTGTATCGCACCTCCGGAGTCTAATTCCACCTTCACAGTAAAAGTATGATATAGAACGGAATAATCAATTATTTTCCTAGTAATTTCTTCCATAATACGTGATTAGAAGACGCTAAATCTCACGACCGTAGTACGCTGCTACGATTTCGGATCGTAGTCGCTACGATCTCGAACCGTAGCACATTACGCGTAGTTCGCTGCTACGATCCTGTTTCGTAGTACTACATATTTCACGCGTCGCTATGACCTCGGCTAGTTCTCATGATTCGATCGATAGAGCAAGGGTGCCACTTACTGTTTACATTGAATAAAATTGAAAGATTTCCAATGTTTGAGTGGTCGTTAAAGCTACAGTAGTAGTACCTATTGCGTTTTCCAATTCTAAATTTTATTTTTGTAAAACCATGGAGTTGGGATATAGGTTCGCTCTCTATTTTAACTCGTCGAGTACCGGTTTTATAGACACAATTAAAGAACAATAGGTCGCGGTCACCGGTGACCGCTTGGTGTTTGACAGTTTAATGGGGTTGACAATTTATAAGAAATCGCGAAACTGCAAGCTTGCAGAAAATATACCACTTTCTGAAGGAATAAGTACCCAACAAATATATTAAAGTAGGTATGTATATGAGATATAATAAAATATACATTTTACCTTACGTGTCTGGCTACTTAGGGAAACGCTTACTTTTTTATTGAGGATGGTAGCGATGGTATCGGATGTCTCATTGCCATTGAAGCGTTCTACACTTAGTATTAATGCTTCGGCGGCGCCGTCTTGGAAGCGTGGTTCATCTCTGCCTGGCCACAGCACCAGGCGCGAGGCGTGCCGCACTGTGAGCGTGTCCGATGTACTCGGCAACGTTGATATCAGACGTCTAACTAAGTCAACGCTTTCCTATTCACCAAAAATACCTATTTTATTAAAATCTATATAATCTATAAACAAGTGCTTTTAGATTTTGATTGTCAGTAAAGGCTAGTATGAATACAAATAAGATTTTATATCTGTTATATCGAACACGACCATTCTTTACATTTTCACATCAAGGGGTAGGTATATAATGTATCTGTAGTGTTATATTCTAATTTCTTAGAATACATAATCTACGACGACTATGAGATTTGCGGTTAGCTTATTAAACTTTCCGAGGTATGTTTAAGTACACCTCGAGATAATAGAAATAACTATTAACAACAGGTAGGTACTCTAGGTCCATATTTGATTAAAATAATAAGATAGGTACCATATCGGAAATTTTAAATCCAATGCATTTGTCTATTTCGGCCCTGGTAGCGGTGTCGACCTCTTTCGAGAGGACCATCAAAGTTATTAGTAGAAAGAAACCAGATTGTACGAAACTCATTCCATTTTCTTGTCGATCTGCTGGACTTATGCTCGTAAGCTTCGCGAACGTGATCTGCAACCATTCCAACAACTTAGTATAAAAAAATATAAATACATTTGTATCATCATTAAGTAAGTTATCGTTATCAATTCGTGTAGGTACATCTAATGCTGAACAAAGAGCTAGCTAGTTAGCTAGAGGATTGCAGTTAGAGCACGTAAAATTTTAAGGATGTTACTGCACCTAATGTGACCGTTTATTTTTCGCTTTAAAATGGGATATTCGTTTATTTAGATTCAGCCAGGCATCTGGTAACTATATCCTACTATTATAGATCATGTAAATACAAATTTTGACTCATAACAAAAGGAAAAAAAGTTACTAAAAACCTTAATGTTTATCGACTGTAGGTACTTCGTCAATAATAATTAATGAGTTCTGTAACCCAAGAATATGTACAATTTGAAGTTTTCCTGAATTTTTTCTAAAAACTGGACAAAGTTGCGTCCCAGAGTTCATTTTGGGGACAACAGGACTCGTAAATATGACAGTCCCGTTCAAACCGGGACGTCTGGCCACGTTATGCATACCCGACCTCGGAATCAATGGAGGTAATTTGTACTAAGTACATATCCTTAACTGTTTATGTAGGTACATACATAACAAGTTTACTGTTAAGGTAAACGTTCACGACATTGTCCCTATATACCTTGTTACTAGTCTCGCAAATGTGTTTTAGAATTAATAAGTCCCCGGGAAGTTTGTAACAATGATGAATGTTTCCCTAAATCTGCAATTAGGAACCGTGCGTTGTAGTTGGTAGTTACAAAATAGAAATCAGTAATTTAAATATGTGAATACTCGTAATAGGTACCATAATAAATCTAAATTAACTATATTTTATTCAGTTCAATGACCAACGAAAACTGGCAGGCTTAAAATTGTTTAATTCCATTTGATATCACAATGAATTTCAATTTGAAACCGATTTGATAACCGTACAATATGTTCGAATTTAATCTGTACCTAGTTTCAATAACAAACGACTATGCGTATGCGTTGGTCACAGTAACTCACTTATTTAATGTAGCTAATCACATTGTTATATGTAAATATGTACCTAACTATAATGATGACGGCAGTACGTATACAACTGCAGAAATATGTTTACAATAAATTCACTCGTTCATTTTTCGGTAAATATGTATCGGTAAACAACGAGCGAGATTTCGTGACCGGGGTTCCTAATTACAGTTAACAACGAAAAATCCAAGTGAAAAGTCGTGGGTCAAGTTTATTAGTTCAGTTATAATCAAAGAAATGGAATTTGTGAAAAATGGTTATACCATATTGTTATAACCATTTTTTTATTGTTTCCTTGTAATTGTGTGAGTAAAATAATTTAGGATTTGCGTACACACATTTGAACCTACCGCAATAAGACAGATATGTTCCCAATTTCGATACGGATTTACCAAAAGTATAAGTCGGTACCTATTCAGATAGGATAATTAGTAGATATGAACAATGTTCTGTCTACTTAATAAATAGTTTTATTATAATGTATGTGTTAATCCTTCGCTGGCAGATTAATCCCGCTGGTTTAGTTGAATCTTCTCCAAAATAGTAGCTATTTTGTATTTTTTTTAGTTTGGAATAGATTTCATAGAATATTCGTAAAAATATTATTACGTATTTTCGGTATGACGGGCTCTCTAATAAAAAAGTAGATAATAAATAAAGATATTATTAAGTCGTTAACAATAAAAACACTTACCTTATAAAATTGTCGCTCAAAGAGGTCTAGGCGTTGTGTAAATTTGTCAATGGAAGACATATTTTTTTGTGCAATAACTTTTTGTGAAGCACCAGTAACAGCCGTCGTTGCTGGCGGCTTTAATGGCAATTGACTGTGTGGCACAATACTCGGACTGCTAACAAGTATAGGTAGCGCTGTTGTACTCCACCCGGTAGGTCTAGTGGGGTACTGCTGAGGTGCATTCCAAGGAGTGTTGAACTTCATTTCAGGTTTCGGCGCTAGTTGAGTTGCTCCAGGGCTATATACAGGAAAAGTCTTACCAGGTATTGGGGTATACCAGTCCGGATATGACCTTAAATTATTATACATTGTGTTAGGACTCGCCGAGAAAAACCTTCTGAATGGCGGTTGCACCTCGGACAGATGCGGCTTGACATCGTTGCTAAGGTTGCGAACTCTAGTCTTGGAGCTCTGGGAATATGGTCTTGCATTATAATGATTTAAAAACTTTTCTCCAATATTCCTTTTTTTATACAAAATGTCAATTATGTCGTAAAAATTGTGCAGAGCATTGCAACTCAGCCAGCTATTGTTGAATAAACAATATTTTTTCTGACTCTTTTCTAAGTTTGCTAGGAAAGAATGTGATTTTTCTCGAATATTATAAATAGGAATTTCAATGGTGTTTATCGACAACATACTAATTTGTACGAGTAATACAACTGAAGCACATTCTTGAATCATATCTAACATCAAACATCTGTGATTTGTCTAATTTTACAATAGCGTCCCGATTTTCAAAGAGATGCCGAAACATAATATAGTTATGATCTCATATTGGGTTTGGCTATTTCGTTTAGAGCAACGAAATTATCTATAATTAAATCAAAATAAAATCTCTGAAAGTAATTAGAACATGTACACAACTAGAAGACAGTTTAAAAACTACACATGATTAGCACTGAAATTACGAGCAGATGATCACGTTAACATAGAATAGATAAAAAGTTAGGTGAACGTGGAGAGAGGAAAAACCATACTGTCAATACCGTGGTCACTCTGCCGTATCTGTAGTAAATACAGTCAGTTCCGCATAAAATTGAACCACCTAAATAAGCACTTAACGCTGAATTAATGAGAGTAATTAACGCGGTTTCTTTCGATAACACTACTTTGATTTGAGTAATCAAAGCCATTTAGTAACTAACTAGGTATAAGAGAAGCAATAGCTATGTACTTAGAACGAATGAGCTAAACAGTAAATGGAAAATAAATTGAACAATCAACATCTAGCCATTGAAAGTAGTTAGGTACCTATCTATAAGATACAAAATCTACATAAATTAAGGTATTTTGTTAGACGTTTCGAAATACTTACGGAATTATACGAAGATATAATTACCGGGATAAATAATAAAGAATACAGGATATGGTATGAAGTTGCCTATGTAAAAAAATGCAATACTTAGTACCTACATATATTTTAACAAAATACTTCTACAGCTCTAAAATCGTATCATCTGACTAGAGTCGCATCTAGAGGAACAATTGAATCCATTTTAATTTCCCAAATAGGTAGAGGTCATAGTTTAGGGTCAGACAGAAGTCGCTCAAGTAATCATAAATTATGAGCGTTAGTCGCGGATCTTCCAATTTTGGCAAGCACTCAATGTTCTAGTTTTACAGTGCCCTATATTTTGGGGACTAGTTTTGTAGGAATGTGAATGATTTTAACGAATACAATCTGGCTACCGGCCATTTTTTGATAAACTATACCAAGTCGATCCTACGAGACGTCCATAAATAGAACATTGAATCTACTCATACTATCAATATGTACGTATTAATTTGTGAAATATTCGACGCTGTTACGCATGTTCTCGTGAAATCATATTCTGCTAGAAAAACGAATACGGTTGATAAGAAAATTATATCGAGACTAAAGTAAAACTGTTGGACAGTTCCAACTACTGTAACTCATGATGTAATATATCAGAATCCACAGTAATGCTAGCGAATAAGCAAAACACATCCGAGATAGTGAAGCCAGGTGCATTTCAGGGACATGAATGGACTGGCTTGGAACTCTAACTAACTGCATTGTCTAAATATACATAGTCAGGTAGGTTAAATAATATTTTGTTTAAAATACGTAATAAAATCTAGCAAGTCTAGGTCGAAGTGCACCAAAATGTAACTAGATGGTCTAGATACAATTAAACTAATAATTAAAATAAGTACCTACTGTGACATATTTACATACCTAATAATAATAATATGTAGTACTTATATGTATAGCTTATGTTTCTTACGTATAGCTGTAGAACGAGCAATTTCACTCCCCGTTTTTCCGCGCAGTCCTACTCTGGAATTAGAAATAAACAATACACAACCTTCTCAGAAAACCTAGAAGTACATAGTTATCAACTTTACCTAAGGTATTTAATAAAGTATACTTACAACCCTTTCTTACCACTTTGAGCAGCTAATAACAAAGCTGTCATTAGCCCCAGTTGACTAAGTACGTAGTATTTTAACGAATAAACATATTTACAACCAATTTTGAATTCTATGTCGTAGCAATACGGTAGAGATTGAATGTAAATAACAAATTGTGGTATCCTACAGTTTTGATAAATCTTATTGCTATGGGTATAGAAGTGAAAATCAGTCGTATTCACAGTAATAAGGGGCTTCGAAAGGTCGTGTTGTTTTAAATGGTACGTACATTACATATCTAGGTACTTATGTCGGTACAGCTACTACATACTTATTTACATTTATACATACATACTACCTACTTGATAATGACATACCTACAACAATTCATTTTCTTCAAAGTCTCCTTTATAAAGTATCCAAAATATTGGGCACTTTTTTCGGAAAATTATGAACAGTAGTGGATGATTGCCGATGAACTCCAAGTCAAAAGCCGCAGTTAATCTCATTATACCAAGTGCTGTAAAACAATAGAAAAACAACATTACCGCTATAGCTACTTAGGGAGCCAACTAACCTCAACACTGTACCCGTAACCAGGTCTCCAGGTCAGGATTTGTTGACCGGGCAAAGTGTTATTAGGTTTTTCGAAGTCGAAATTCTCTCACTTTGTATGGCAATGGGAAATCTCGTTCTATATGACTTTGATATGAAAACTCATTAAACCAGCGAAAGTAAACACAGGCGCTACCTGTAAAACCTCTATCTACTAATGGGAAAACAAATAAATTACTGAGTACTAAATATAAACCGTTCTATGCATTCTCTTGCATGTAAAATTCTTACAATGTAGAGGCTCTACTAGGCTTAAGAGTTTTGAAGTAGAGTCTACATCTACTTGAAACGATACAATAACAAGTAAATTAGCCAAACAGCAAATCCAAGATATCCTGAAACTAGCTGGCGTCCATACAACGAGAATAATTTTAGTACATACACAAGTAGGTCAGTGGGACAACCTGGGATATCGATCAGGAGCGACATAAAGTTGCGCGCATTATATTTTGAAAGCTTTCATTTAATTTAAATTTTGAACACTATACTATAGCTAGATCTTCCAGGATCAACTTGACGTTTATCAGGCTATTCTTTACCACGCACGAAGAAGTAGGCAGAATATAAGAACTCTAAAATTATGTACTCTTTCTGTGTTATTTTGCTAAGAAGGCTTCGTAGTCGACAAATCGAATTAATCGAGGTTCGAACCCGTTAACCTGTATTGAAAAATTCACTAGACTAACGAGTCAACAATCATTGGTCTTTTGAGAAATAACTTCGACATTCACGTACCACAAATGGGTTTTGAAGGAGCGGACTGTCCAAATTGTAGTGATATATTGTTGTAGAGTACAAAATCAGATGACCTTAGACGCCTACACCTACGTAGCTTAGTCTAGGAGTTTGTTAACCTACCAATGACAAACATGTTTAGATTCGTCAAACAAAGCGCTATATAGGTACTTACATTATTTATTTTTACGAATTAGGTATTTCCATATACCAGTTGTATAAGTATTACTTTGTAGTTATTTTTAGAATTTTAGAACAGATTTGTGTTTATTTTTGCCGATTGCAAAATCGATGGGAAGAACACGTTTCAATGAAGTTCATATCTACCATGTTGGCTTATTTAATGTTTTGTTTTAACAACTTTGTCTTTAATTTTTTTAATAAATGATAATCTTGATCTAGTATCAGGATAGAAAAACAAAATTAAATACACAATTTTGTGTAAAAATAAAAGTATTTATTGATAAGTAATAGCTTATTCTTCGTTTGCATAGTAAGCTGCAACAAACTCAATGTGTCTGTCGATGAGGATAGCAGCTATGAACGGTCGGTCAGCGAGGAAGGCAGGCACGGGTTGGAGGTTGATCATAGCCGAAAACATGGCGACTCCCATAGCTGGAATATATAAATATATAATACATACATTGAGGTTCATGTGTTGTAACAACAAGAGTCAGAGATTCCATAATTCCAAAACCATAAAAAAAATGCAACGACTTACATATAAAGCCAAGGCGCAAGACAAACGGAGAGTGCACATCGAGCGTTCAATGACAATACTTACTTCTTGAACCGATGAAGACTAATGTGATGAATAAGAACGAATTCAGAATGTACGATAATTACCTGTTGTGCTATTAATAAATTAAACTTTGATTGCCATATTGTGTTTAGTATAATAATAATAATATTATTCTTTTATGTGAGTAGTATCCCACCAAAAACATTCTGTAAAAAACTAGCCAAGTCTCGATGGAGCTGCTAGTTTATCTCTAAAAAATAATGAAATATAACAAAGTCGTGGCAAGTCTAAGGTTCCTTATTGCGATATCGTTATTATTATAGTTAATGTTGTGTGACTTTGCCGTTGAAGTGTAACACCACTTGGCATTGCCACTTGGAAAACGAATTATTAGGTATTCTTAAATTTAAATAAATAAGTATATGGGAATATTATATTTTGTAGTGGATTGTGAATTTTCCAGCCATTTAAGCAGTTATAATATAATAGACTCCAATAGTTACGAAACGGTCGCTGTAGCCGAAACCGGCATGGAGGATTATGTATTTTGGACAAGAAAAATGAAAGTTTTCTTATGATTTCATTATCGTTTCGTCATAACTAGACTATAAATACTATGATAAGCTGCCAAATAAGTAATTATAAAAAATATGTAAACGCTCTCTAAAAATATGTAAAAAATATAATTATATCGTTGATCTAGTCTTATTATGTACTTAGTCAAACTGAGAACCTCATTTTTTGAAGTCGGTTAAAAACGTCTGTGGCCAGATCTTCATCACATTTTATATGTGGTAGGTATATGATATGTTAAAAAAACTTGTGGGTGGTATTTTAATAAAATATCTTAATTGTTGAAATTATTTATTTAATGAACTTGATTTTTATTTTATTGGTTTCATAAGATATAATTAAAAGTACAAGTGCTGTAAATACAATGTACAGTACCTATGTTATTTTTGTTGGAAAATATAGTTGTATAAACAAGATATTAATTATTGACCTGATTGGTCCAACGGATAGGTGATCTGCCTCGTGATCTGGTTCCCTCTACTTTCCCTTGAACGACCAGTCGCTCTATGGAGTTGTTATCACGACAATAGAGGTAGACATGGCCAAAGTACTGTAGAATGCGCGTCTGGACTATAGTTGATAGACGCTTTGTGATGCCGAGTTTTCATATCTCTAGAGCATCTATCTTTCCCTTTTCCAATTCACGTACTGTCCGCGTCTCGGCCGCGTAGAGGAAAATTGGAAATACCAGCGTTAGCATAAGTCTGACCTTGGTGGTTTTAGTGATGTTGCGATTCCTGCAAACTCTCTTCAGCTTCTCTACCGCAGTTCTGGCCATAGCCATGCGGCGCTTAACTTCATCCAAGCAACCGCCCCGTTGGATATAAAGGCTCCAAGATGTATATGCATAGGTTTAAACCACGACTGGCGAAGGGTAAGGGATTGTCCATAATGTCCATATTGTAAACAGTATTGTTACAGTTTAAGTTACGAATTACTGTAATAATTAAAATTGAAATTTGACATAATTTGTGGGCTATTCAGTACATTCAACCTAAATAATTTAGGTAGTTATCGGTATAAATGATGATTTGTTAAAAAAACCTTGTAGGCGTTATTTTAATATAATATCTTAATTATTGACATTATTTATTTAATAAACTTGTTTTTATTTATTTCGTGTGCGTGTGTGTTGTAAATACAATGTACACTATATTTTTTATGAAGAAAATATAGTTGTATAAACAAAGTATTATTTTATACATATGTATTAATTATCACTGCCGCAGTACGACGCCAGGAAGTGAGGAGTGTTTCCAATTATGATAGACGCCAGGAAAGGCCGGTTTGCGATGAACCGACGAATGGGAGGCGGGTTCAACATCATTGACTTAGTGACGCTCGTTACTGGAATAACATATTGATTCACAAGATAAATGAAGTGTTAGTTGTAGGATAACTATATGTAGGTAGGTACAGGTCTCCCTGGAAGTCTCATGGATCAAATTGATCAGAGTTCTGAGGAGATCACTTCCAAACTTTTTTATCTGAGTATTCAATCGAATTCTACGGTTTTGAAGTTATGACCAATTTTTATTTTAGCCAATGATTTCTTATTGAGCTTAAAGAACCAATCACAAATAACAAACTATTAGGGGTATCCATATAGTTTTAATTTGAAAATAAATGTATTATAATTAATTATTAGTTAAAGAGTACCCACACTATTATTATCGGCATCTATATAATCATTAACAAAATATAATTAACCCCTTGAATGCACCGATATGAGACACAATAGAAAATACATTGTCTCGCGTGGGTCGCCTTGAGACACACGAAAGGTTAATAACAAAAGCAAGTGCAAAGCATTTAGGTTGGCGAAAAGTTATTCAATTTTCAAGCAATGTTCCTGTAAAGTTGACCATGTATCGGAAAACTTTAGGTTTTTCTACCTACTATTTTAGTCCATAATTGCGTTTCAGTTTCTAGTCATTGGTTTTTCAAAAAGTTTTAAACAAAATCATTTATTATAAAACCTTAATAGATACCTAACACTATTAAGTTATATCCAGTTTTCAACCGACTAAAAAAAATGAAGGAGTTTTTATGATTGTTACTCGATTACTCGCCTGTACTGATTTCAAAAATTCTTCTTTTATTTGATTGTCATTTGGTCCCATTGTCATCAAGTCAGGATCTGGTGATGGAATCCCAGGGAAACAGAGGGGAACTTTTAAAAATTAAAGGGGCGACTAGTGCATTTGTTATTTTTTTCATTAAGTAGTTAAAATTACAATCTTATAAAGGTCTGGAGTCGACCTGATGATGGAGCTGAGAGCGAGGAAACTCTTCAACGGTTAACAGTAGCTACCTTGTGTTTGGGTTTGATTAATTTGTATTGATGAGGATTTTACACCTGTGGTGTGGTTGTCAATAAGGGTCTGATGATGAAGTAGTATGATAGTTGAGGGAACTCCTCAAGGGACTCATTTTGTACAATACAAAATATTCAAAACCAAATACAAGATAGCTATTTTTAACCGTTGAGTAGTTCCCTAAACTATCGTACTACACTTCATCATGACCCCTGTAGCACAGGTTTTCCTAGCATGTGGGGTCATTGAACTTAATTATGTTCTAAATGTCTTCATGAATTCTAGATACGTGTGTTATTGTAAAGTACTTCTTTGTTTTGGAATAAACTATTTTTTATACCTATTGTGCGATTCGCGGATATCTAGGTACGTACCAACATAGTGTTTGTAAGGGATTGTGTGTCTTGTAAACAATATTGCTACAGTTACAGTTCAAATTAGGAATTATAATAATCTTTGTTTTAGTAATTAATCTAGAAATTTAACATATTTGTGGGAAGTTATTCAGCATACCTAAATTATATTCAACTAAAATAATTTAGGTAGGTACTTTATAAATGATGATTTGTTAAAAAGTACAAGACCATTGTGGGCGTTATTTGAATAAAATATCTTAATTATTAACATAATTTATTTTATTAAAATTGATTTATATATTTGTATTATAATTAAAACGTATTAGTACTTAGGTGCTCTAAATATAATGTACAGTATAGTTGTGTAAAGACAATATACTTTGATAAACAAATTATATTATTATTTGATATATATATACATAATTATGTATTAATTATCACTGCCGCAGTACGACGCCAGGAAGTGAGGAGTGTTTCCAATTATGATAGACGCCAGGAAAGGCCGGTTTGCGATGAACCGACGGATGGGAGGCGGGTTCAACATCATTGAACACATCGCGATGCCCATTGCTGGAATAATATATTGATTTACAAGATAAATGAAGTGCAGAAAGATGAAGGAAGTTGTAGGAAGACTGCATAAAATACATATATAGTGTCTTTGGAAGGATGGATCAAATCGATCAGAATCACCCTATTACGCTCTTAAGAACCGATCATAAACTATCACGGGTATCCTTGTAATTATATAGGCATCCTTTTACTTATTAAACAAAACGTAATTAATAAAAAAAGCAATTGCAAAATTTTCAATTTGACGAAAATACAATTTTCAAGTCAGTGCTTTTCCTTAAAACTTGACCATAAACCAGAAAATCTTTAGTTTTTTCTAGCTACAATTCTTGTCCATAATGGCATTTCAGTTTCTAGTCATTGGTAATTGTTCAGTTACTGTAGTTGAATACAAAAATTTGAATTTTTGTTATCCAATGGGTTGCATAATTTTGCCTAAATAGGAGTAAAGTAGGGTGATAGAAATAAAATAAAACTGTAGAAGTTTAAATTCTGTACATGAAAAAAAAAATAGTAGGGTTGTTGGTAGATAGACACCGAACTCAAAAATGTGATTAAAAAATAATTTGTCTGTCTGTATGTTCACGCATCACACACAAAAAAACTACTAACTAATATTCCGAAGGGATAGGCAGACGAGCATTATGTATTAGAAATGTAAAAGAAAATATAGTCCCATAGACTAATTAATAAAATAAAAGAAACACATAAGTAGTCATCAAGATTAGGTTGTAGCGTTGTGTTATTTTATGTTATTTACCAAGTTGTAAATATGATGAATTGTTAAATAAATTAAACCTTATAATTCTTTTAAAATAACGCCCACGGTACTATATTAAAATACCTAAGATAGGTTTTTTATTAATTAATTAGGTAAAATGTTGAGGAGATTTTGATTAATTTATTAAGATATTATAGTGCAAAATAAAATATTAGCAAGTATAGGGCGTGCAGTGCCAGCCGGGAGGCACACATACGTGTGACCATTCCGCCACTAGCAGAAAATAATCTAGACGTCTTACATTATTATTTTATTTTACTCTAATTGTACTGTTATACACCGTGTCGTCATTTTAATAATCCTCGTTAATACAAACAAAATATTAGTAAATCTGTACGACTTAATAATGTCTATTTGCTGCCGTAGTAAGACGCCAGGAAGTGAGGAGTGTTTCCAATTATAATAGACACCAGGAAAGGCCGGTTTGCGATGAACCGAAGGATGCGTGGCCTGCTCATTACTGATGTAACCATCGCGACAGCCATTGCTGGAATAATATTAATTTACAAGATACAAGATCCCTTTTGTGCCAGTTGTAGAATGACCCGACATTGCCCCAAAATGAAACAAAACATATCTAAGCATATTCAAAGCATAATAATATTTTAGTAACATAAACTGGTGACATCGGTTCGGTTTAAGCGATAGTTAAGGCCTGTCTTGAACTCTGTTGGTAATGAATGTAAAACTTGTAATTTAACTCATGGTATGCTATATATTATACGTAATGTAGTTTACATAACATAACATCACGCCTTTGCACATTATGCCACTGTACAATGTAACACCCACTTTTCACTAATTATGTGTAGTTTACAATTATCTATTTATCAATCCTATTAGGTAGGTACTTACTTCTTACTTACTTCTTTATTAGTATTATGAATCGGAAAGTGAGTTTGTTAATTTGTTTCTTTGTTCCGCTTTCACGCCGTAACTACTAAACCGATTGCTTTGAAATTTTGCAGACGTAAAGTTAGAAGTCCGGATTAAATAATAGGGTTTTATCCCGGAAAAATTGGATATTCCCAAGGGAAATTAAAATATTAGTATAGATGGTGCTGTGTGTATTGGTATAGATGGCGCTGTATGTCATTTAAAACAAGTCAACGAATTACCTACTAAGTACTAAGTTATTCGGTGCACTTCGGAAAAATCTAAAAAGCGCGATATAACCGAATTCCACACGAAGGGAAAGCTATTTCATTGTTTGCCTGTCTATGTTTGTTTTAAGGTTACATAATTAAAGCATTGCTACAAAGGAATTTAAAACAAAAATAATATAAAAATGGTACTAAGTGACTAAACCTTTTAAAAGCATTGTAAAGGTACAATACAATACAGACAAGGTAGATGTCTAGGCAATTTAGGCAAAATAACGCAGGAAATCCCTCGCTGCAATAGAGGCAGGTAACAAGTGCAGAAACGTCTTATTCCTTGATTGTCTGAACTAACCAAAATACTAACTTGAACTTATAGGAAATAAAAAACTGAGTATCCGAGTTTAGAACGGGAGTTTCTTGCTTCATTAAGATTTATTGTATAATAAAATAAACAACGCATTTCTATTAACTACGAAGTTTTTCGTTTTTAATGCATACCACGTTGTGTTCGTGAGGTCCTGTGGCCTCATGAACACAACGTTTGTTCGTTGGGTAGGTTCGTTTTTTTTGGTTTTATCATTAACGAGTGGTCTATTGGTCAGAAGACCTAACGCGATACCAGCGCCTCTAGTGGTGGGAAACTGCTTATGTGTTTTTCTATAAAACGATACTTGGCGTTAACATGTTAATAAATTAGTTTCATTGATCTGATAAATAAAAAATAAAAACACTGCCAGCTAGTTATAAAATTAAAACATTTAATTAACGAATATATGTATAACTAATACATAGTAATATCATACAACAGATTAAAAATAATTTTGTTAACATTTTAAATTGCGGTGTTAATAAACGTTAGTTACGATATTATTCGAGAAATATATTTAATTTCATTTATGTAATTAAATTAGGTAGGTACTATTTTTTATATCAGTTGAGGTCAATTTATTGGTCTAAGGTGTGATTTAATTAATTATATTATTTATCATTGTTCTTAAACTGAATCTTAAGTCGTTCCGACCGCTGAGTTTATCATATTACTTTATAACAACTTCTGTGCGCAATGCGATACTTTAATGATTAAGAAAGTTTGCAAACGTGTAAAATGTGCGTTTAATTTATTAACACCGTGAGTTCATAGCATATTGTCACAGTGACATCGTCACCAATCGACGTGGTGCCCGTGGCATAGTGGGGTCGTCGCTCGCGAGGTCTGTTTAGTCTCTTCCGCGATAGGCCCCAATGAAGAGCAGGGCGCGGTCAGCGCCAAACAACAGGTAGAGGAAAGGCCGGTCAGCGCGGAAGCGGGGCGACGGCGGGCGAGCGCAGCGCAGCATTATCACCATGCCTGCGCCACACACAGCACTATAGTTCATCGCGCGGCGCCGCGGGCCGGTAGCTGGCCAGCACGGCCGCGTGGCCCGCCGCGCGCACCAGCCACAGCGCCGCGCGGTCCGCCGCGAACACCGCCGCCAGCGACCGCGCGCGCCGCGTCGCCATCGCTGCGCGGCACACACACACACACACATCAAGCACTCCGCGACACTGCTGCCACACCACCAAGCAATACCAACCACACCCAAGACAATATCATAACACAAGTTGCACATACATTGCTAGTCAATGGTAGGTTCCCGTAAATACTATAGGTGTTAGCTACCTACGTATTACATATAATAGAAACCCAAAAACTCTTAATACCTAAATGAATTCATTAAGGCGAAATATGAATATGAAAACGAATTTATTAAATCTTTAGGGTTCGATCAGAAGTAAGTAAATATTAGTGTAAATATTGGTTAGATCATACTTTTAGAAAATGTATCGAGTAAATCAGCTTCTGAACGTTGAGCAACATTGATTGCTCTTGAGAAGAACAGTGAGTAAAAACATCACAGAACTTATCAGAAGAAGATAGAAAAAGAAATCCAATAAAATGTACGCAATGACGTCTCAGATACGTGTTAGTGACCGACAACTAAATACAGAAATATCTGTGGCTCGCCTACATATTTATCGAGGAGACTGTTATCGTTTGTAATCATATCACTGAACAACTCAGCTCATCCAATGAACATTCCAAGTTAGTAACCGATAAACGAATGGATAACAATGTTAGAGAAATGTGTTAACTACTCGTACTATAGTACAGTCTACGAGGTGTTAATGTAAACAATGAGTTTAGAATTTAGATGTTTTGTCATTTTACAGTCCCGGACTCCCGGATCCAGATTATTTTGAAATAGAACAAAGTATACGGTTGTGGATGCTTTATATGTCTGATATAATATCTGGTATTTATTGAATATTTATTTTGGTATCCTCCGCTCCTCAGTCATCACAACATTGTAATAATACTGAGTAATGAAAATACGTTTTCCATGCATGAATTTGCTGCCATCCAAATGTACCGACCGAGGTAGTACAGTCTCGGTTGAGTTTCCTCAACATACATATTCTACATTTTGGTCTGTATATGTACTAACATGCGATAAAAGCTAGCAGTGCTAAGAATTGTTATCACGCTTACCAGTAGCCGCCGCGGCCTCAGCTCCCTCCTCATTCACCTCAATGAAGGCCTTCTGCACCGCCTTCGACACGAACAGAGGTTCATCCACATTCAAAACCTTTGTCAGTCCTGAATTATGACGGTTGAAAATCGATTGTATTCCAAGCTACAACAAACAATACCACTTAATCTCAAGGTCATAAGCCAACGCTATACGCACTGAACTGAAGCACAGTTGAAGGTCACCCTATTTGGCTACTAGTAAAAAATGGAATGTCGTGGTTACAATCAAAGTGTCTCATGAGTTTAATATCGTCTGAGTGAATCAGAATCAGAATCAGAATCAGAATCAGAATATTTTTATTTGTAAACATAGGTATGTGAGGTGTTACAGGTAGGCAGATTCTCCATGTTTTGCCCAGAGGCGTACAAATATTATATATAATTAAAATTATTTAACATTGTCATCATTCAAAAATTAATTGACACTTGTAATTGTAAATTAAATTGAAACCGATTAAGTAACATGTCATACAATACTAATGCCAAATAAAATTAGGATCATCAAATATGTAAGTCATAAGTAATGTCAATATTAACAAGATTTAACAATTTGTCTAGAGAGATTAATTTTCGTGTCATATTATTTAGCGTTAAATATAACATTAACAGATATTAATACGCATATACATATCATTACAAATAAAATAGAATTAATTCAATAAAATGTCAAAAACGATTAAAGTTACATGTCATATAGGCCAATGTCAAACAAAATTCAAAACATCAAAACAAATGGGGTTGTGCGCTATTGTCTGAGGTAGTAATTATAGAATTGTCGTCCAAATAGGCCTTTACTGAGTAATAGCACTTATTTATCAAAATTTTCAATAGTTCTTTTTTGAAATTGTCTAAGTTTAACGTCTTTATTGTCTCAGGTAGTTTGTTAAATATTTTTTGGGCCATACTGAGGATACTCTTATTCATTAACGCAGTTTTTCCATGAGTTACTTCAAGTTCTGACTTATTCTTGTCGCGTAATTTTCTGTAGTAGCTTTTAGTGGCTATTTTATATAGTGAGAGATTAGTTTTGACAAACACATTAGTTTCGTATATGTATAACGATGGCAAGGTAAGAATTTTTAGGCGAATAAAAAACGGTTGACAGCTTTCCTTGCTGTTAAGGCCACACATCGCTCTGAGACATCGTTTTTGTGCTCTAAATACGAATTCCCTATCTACTGAATTACCCCAATATATTACGCCATATCTGAGTACTGATACAACATAACCGTGATAGGCTGCCAGGACGGATTCTAAGTTTACAATTTTTGATAATTTATAGAGAACATAAGCAAATTTGTTTAATTTTTTACATACTTCGTCTGTCTGGGATCGCCAAGTCAAATTGTTGTCAATATTAATACCAAGAAATTTAATAGTTGTTACCGGTTCAATTGTTGTCCCCAAATAGTTAATATTTAGATTATTGTTTGTGATCCTTTGATAAAAATGCATAATTTTAGTTTTTTCTAAGTTTATTTTTAGATTATTTTTATCAAACCATGATATCATTTTATTCAATGTCATATTTATTTCATTTCCATAAGTATTGGGATTGTCACACTCAATGACTACGGTACTATCATCGGCAAAAAGCACCATAGGGTGATTTATTTGTTCCGGAAGGTCATTAATATAAACCAAAAAAAGAAGGGGTCCCAGCACGCTACCTTGAGGAACGCCGTATTTAATTATCTCGCTTTCGGATTTATATTTATTCTCGCAACAAGTTTTCGAACATATTTGTGTGATTTCTACAAATTGTCTTCTATTCGTCAAGTAAGACCGAAAGAGTTCTAATACATTACCTCTGATACCATATCTTTCTAGTTTGTATAAGAGTACGGAATAATCTACATAATCAAAGGCTTTTGTTAGATCCGTAAAGATAGCGCATACAGGTTTTCTGCTATCCATATTTGATAAAATGGGGAGAAGCAAGTCATGTATTGCCATGTTTATTGTCTTTTGTTTGCGAAATCCTTTTTGTTGCTTAACTAATATATTTGACTTCTCAAGGTAGCTATACAATGATTTGTAAATGACTTTCTCAAATATTTTTGAAAAGACTGGTATCAATGCGATAGGCCTATAATTTGACATATTTTGCCTATCATTCTTTTTATGCAATGGTATGATTACCGACGTTTTTAATTGGTCAGGGAAAATTCCGTTAGAAATACTCATATTTATAATATGACTGAGATGTGGAGCTATGTATCGTGATATTTCTTTGATAACTTTGGTACATATTCCGTCATAACCAACGCTATTCGTGTTTCGGAGTGACTTAATATGGCCAATTATATCTTGGGGTGTTGTTGGCCACATATACAGAGAGTTTGATGTATTTGAGCTGATTTTAATTTCTGGCATAGTTTTATTTTTTTGTATGGAAACTTGATTAATATAAAACTTGTTGAAAGCCTGAGCAATATTTATTGAGTTCGTCAATGCGTGTGTTTCTGTTCGAATCTGTGTTATTGGTTCTTTAGGGAAACTGGTCTTAGAGTTATTGATTACAGTCCATGCCGCTTTGGATTTATTTTGAGATGTCTTGATAAAGTAGTTATTTCGTGATGTTTGTGTTAGCGTCATAACTTTTTTGAACCTAGCAGAATAGGTCTTAAACAATTTCCGATTACTTCGAGTAGGATTCATTCTATATTGCCATAGTAACTGCCGTTTCTTTTTACTGCATGTTCTTATTCCTTTAGTGATCCAATTAGCTTTTTTAGTGATCGAGTTTGTTATTATTTCATAGGGAAAGCAAAGATCATAAAAACATTTAAATAAGTCAATGAAACGGGTGTAGGCCTCATTGACGTCACTTTTTGTATATATATCCGAAAAACTGAGACATTTAATGCAATTTCTAAATTTGTTTACATTATCTTGACAATAATTCCGTCTTTTAATTTTCCAACGTTTTAAGACGCACGTTTTTTTAACAGGACATTTCAATAGCTGTGCGGTATGATCTGACAAGCCCAATTCTATAATTTCTCCTTTACAAGCATTTATATTGTGCGCTATATTGTCCAAGCAGGTTCCACTGCTTAACCTAGTGGGTTGAGAAAATTGTAATTTTAGATTGTAATTTAACAATGCATACTCAAAATCTAAAGTTTGTTTATTCCTTTTCATTATGTTAATATTAAAGTCCCCACACAATACAATCTTTTTGTTATTTAACTTTAAACATAGAAAATGAAGAATATTATTCAAGTTTTCAAAAAATTTATCCAAATTAGATTGGGGTATCCTATATATACAAACAATAATAATGTTATGTTCTATCAGTTCAATAGCGCAGCATTCAATTACGTTGATTAAAGAATATTTTTGTAGGTTTAATACTTTAAATTTGTGGCCATACCTGGTTAAGATACACGCGCCACCTCTTCTATTATGTCTGGAGAAACTTGTTGCTAAGCTGTAATTTAGAATATTAACTATTCCTTCTTGTTCAGGTGTCATGAAATGTTCAGTTATGCATATAATGTCGATTTGTTTTCTATTTTCTAGTTCCTCCAGATATACAGTAAGCGTATCGCTTTTATTTAGGAGTCCAGCAATATTTTGATGAAGGATATGTATACTATTATAAACGAAAAAAGTTAGGGTTTTCTTGCAGGCTTGAATTGAATTTGTCTTCAGTGGGACTCGTTAAATCCCCGTCACAGTCTTGCCTGCTGTTGCTGTTTGTCAATATATTTGTCTTATAATATAGGTGTAGATCGATCTTAATGTTACTCATAATATTATCATAAATATTTTTCATCCCATATTTATTGATTCTACCCGTAGTGTAAGAGAACATGTCAAGTGTTAGATTGAGATTACTGTCGAAGATATAGGCGTATTTATGGTTTTGGTTGTCTAGATGAAGGAGGTTGTTGAACATCTCAACTCTGAAGTTGTGTATAAGCGATCCTGCCCTATACGTAGGAAGACAAATTACTACGTTTGTGTGCGTAATTTTACTAAGGGACTCATTTATTAACTTTATAGTGTTAATGTAGTAGTTTTGATTCGAAGTTATATGATTTTCTCCAATGAAGATAAGACAGTAATCATTTAGCGTGAACTTCTTTAATTTTTCATCAATGCCGCTTAGTAATTGCTTTATCGTACTGTTAGGCATTATGTAGTTACAGAAGTCGAAATGTTCCGAAAATACTTCTTCTATGGAGGATAAAGATCTGTTGTATTTGTTACTACTTAATATGCACAACTTAATCTTTTCTTTAGAGTTCGCAATCTGAATTTTTGATGGTTCAGAAGCAGATGGCTCTCTAATTTGATGTGCTGTCTCATTACGACTGTTATCATTCTGTGTCCCTTTATTTTGTTTGCTGGTTTTATATTCAGGTATCAGTACTTCGCGCCTGGTTTTTAGGTCACTTGGAGAATTAATTTGGCGTGGTGTTTTGTTACGAATTGATGCTTTACGTTTTTTCTCAGGCGTTGAGCATATTTTTTTGTAAGCATTGCAAGTTGTGATCATGAACAATTGTTTTTTATTTATAAAGGCAACGTTCTAAGGATGATCTATGCGTTAAGCTTAGGTTTTTATTATCTATGACGACAAATCCATTTTAAAGAACACAATTAAAATAATTACAGCCATCCTAGACTAATGACAATGAACGTAACCTTCATTAATCCGAGATAAGCTGCTGTCGTATAAATGTAAGTAAATTCCAAGTAATATCTATCACGAAATCATCAGAATCAGATGTATATTAAATTGGTATTTTCCTCGACTTCGGTGTCTTATTACTTATGCTGTAATATATTTTGGAAACAATATAAGAGATTGCTACTTACTAACACTGTTAATTAGCTGTAATTTAGGATTTCTAGATAGAAAGAAAACAAGAAATATGAACAAGCATCAGTTCTGCTTTGAACCCGTGTTTTTAGTGATGCGATAAAATAAGCATTGAATAAAATAAAATACAAACCTTCGGCAACACCTCAGCTAAGTTAATCTCAGTCTCAATCTTAAACTTGGGGATAGTAACTTGTACTTTAGTTTTGTACATTTTTCCAATCTCGGATAGTAGGTCGAAGCCAGACGCCAGCTTGGAGAGTACGCCGTCGAGACCTTCGATTTCATTTGGAAGCACAATCAACATGGATGCTTCTTCTCCTACGTAAGGCATTTCTAACAGCTGTAATATAATACATTCCGTACTTAGATAACAGATACTGTAATTACATTTACGAATAATTGAGACTTTTTATCAATTCCAGGCATTAATTGAGATAAGTCCAAATTCTTCTGCTAAAAAGACCATTTTCCTCAAGTATCTGCTGATATCTACGACAAAACAAGTTCAGAGTGTATTTTGTAATAAAATCTAGAATGTTATCATAGTATTATTTTTCAATTTAAATTTGCAATCATGTAAAACAAATAATTCAATGGGCTATTAACAATAATAGTCCCAGCGTATAACAGAATATTACCTACATATCCATAAGCATACATGTAATAAGTAGGTACTGTACTGAAATAAATACACGAGGAAAATGTTCCAGACGGTGTATTGGGAAAACCCAACAACACTCAATATTTAATTATGGATTCATTGAATGTAGGTATTCGAGAATATGAATTTATCGGTTACGAAGTTGGAGTCGGTAAAAATAGGTCTTGTTTACAAAATTAGACTGGAATGCGACTGGGGGAATCCATTGTAACTGTTTATACAAGCTATTTATGATTATCAATGCTACTTTACTTTTATTGGCAGAATGAGAATAATCTTGAATTAAATGATACTGGGATGTTATTTTAACGATAATATTCATGTAGTTTTCGATTCTTGACTGAAACGAGTTTTTAGTTATTTTTTGGTGAAACATGATTGTAATCTAAATCAGGTATAAAGTTAGTGTGGTTTTAACTTCTTAATTCACGAATATGGAAAATCCACAACATTTGTTCATACAAAAGTAGTCTCTAAACAACGTAAATAAGGTCTATAATAGAGTGAGTGGAGAGAGGTCACCGGTGACTGCTTGGGGACTGGGCAGTTAAAGAGACTTAAGTGATCAGTGGACGATTGATTAAATCAATGCATTTGTACCTGAGCCTGAAGCTCGCTGCTCTCTCCATACAAATAGTCGTCCTCTCTGTACATCATGGGGACCTCCACTGAAGAACTGGCAGTAATATGGAACGGTTGGTTCATTGTGTTCTGTGGGTCGAACTGCTTCTTCCATGTTCCCTAGAAATTATTTACAACATATCAAATATGGCCGACTAAAACTAATAACATTAGGGCTTTTTATTATTATTCTGGTTCTCACTGCAGCAGTTTTACGTTAGACTACGACTTCGTATATCTGTGTACAAAATGCAAGCCAACGTACAAAAAAATGTAAATACACTTACTTTGAAATAGAGAGCATTAATGAGTACCAGGCGAGTATCACCATCCACACTGTCTGACGAGAGCAGATCTTTAATTTTCTCATTGGTTTGGCTTTCAACCTGAAATTAAGTTAGTCCTATATTAATTATCCAAAAAAATGATTAAATCCCCTGTATGATGTAAATCTACTTACCCATTTGTTTATAACTTCAACAGCGGCTGCTGCAGAATTGAAGTCAATTTTTTCAATGCCTGCATTGAAGACTTTCTCGGCGTCCACCTTCAGAGAAGGTGAAAGGTCATAGGGACCATCCTTGAGGTACACTTTGTTTGCTACATTAAATGTAACTCCCTTCAATGACTTCAACCTGGATGACACCTCAGTGAATGATGAACGGATCTGGAATATACCAAATTATTCTATTGCATTTTTTATATTATAACATAACATCACGGCTTTTATCCCCGCCTTTTGTGCCTACCCGGCAGAGGTGCACATTACGGCACTTAATGTCATTGTACAGTGTAACAGTAACACCCAGTTTTTACTATTGTGGTATTTGTGGTAAGTATGTTATGAGTCCCAGAGAGTGTAATAGGGGATGAGCCAATTGCCATATACCAAACACAATTCCAAACTCCGTGCTACTATAGAGTTTTTTTTTAAACCCCCAGCAATACTTTGCCCGACCTGGGAATCCAACCCGAAACCCCTTGCTCGGAAGTTGCCCTTGCGACCACTTGGCCAACGAGGCAATTTTATACAATAATAAATTAATAATTACCTATCTTCTATCCTTTCTACATATTCGGAATTTTATATTAAAATTTTATCATACACAATTACTAAGTAATTGGTGATAAAATCTAAATCTATTGAGAAATCTCACAAACTTTTACATCAATAGACAGATGAATCATCAAGCAAAAACGATTTTCACAATCACAATCATGGCTGTTGACCGGTGACTGTTCCTGAACATGATATTATTTCATTAGAAACAGGCACCTACATGGAAAACATGTGGTGATTCATTTCAAAAGTGAGTGTTTGACAATTATCAGGAGGTAATATTCACATTATCATTCATTATTTATGACTTATTATTTGGCCTTGTCCACATTCCGAAACAATTTTTAACCTGGCATGTAAATATATGGCTAGAACAAATATGTAGTCTAAATATTTACCTCACATAAATATTAGGTTTTTTAAAGCTATGAACATAAACATTGCTTTTTATATTTGATTTTAGTATTTTTCGTCCTTAGTATATTTATTTATATAAGATATTACTTACAGAATCATCATCAGGAATTCCGAGGGCAGTCAGAAGCTCAGCATGTGCTGGGTCCGAGGTACCAAGGGTCAGCAGAGCTAGTACAAACTCTGCTGATAGTGGTGATGACACCACACTCTTACCCTTCTCCAATTCCTGTCCAAAGAGAAATTATATTAATCACTTGACTACACTTCATACAAAAGTAGTCTCTAAAGATCGGAAATAAGGTCTATAATGCAGTGAATAGAGAGTGGTCACCGATGAACGTTTGGGTGTTGACCACTTAATACTTAGTATATACTGTCTTAAAAATATATTCATTGTATTTCTTTAACATGCTGTTAAATCCGTTTACTTATTTTGCTGACATTTCAACATACATACATAGCCTCATGCCTGTCTCCCAAGGGGGTAGGCAGAGATTATGGAAAGCAAATTTATTATTTTCTATTTAACTCATAGTACAACAAGTACTGTTTATAAAACAAAGTTTAAATTACTTTAATGAGCTGTGCAAAGCTGTATACCATATACCAATTACCTTGTTTAGTTTTATGACAATGAATATGATGAATATTGAAAAAGTATGTAACAATTATACTGATGACCTATGTAGCTGGGACAAAGGTATGTGTTTAGGCATGTAGGAAGTTAAATCATAAAATAGGAAACCTAATTAAGACAACATAAGCATTATAGCATAAGCTATTAGTTATCAATGTTCTTAATTTGATTTTAAATTAAATTAGAATCAGAATAAACTAATAACTATATTCTTATTAGTTTAGTGGCAACTTATTTAAAAGAATACTTTTTTCTACATAGTCTACAACTGATACTTATTAATACAATGACATTTCTTGCAACTAAGAAATCATCAATATCAGGTTTATCACAACTTATCGTGTGAGCACTTAATGAGAAATTGATTAAATAGATATTAAGTGATTTTGATTGATTGCATTCTAAGCATTTTGTTACATAATTATGAAGTTTTTTTAAATAAGGAAAATAGGAAATTTTGATTAATATATTCAAAAGTGTAGACCTAGAAAATTAATAATTATAAAAGCAAAGCAACATAAAAATAACTATATAATATAAATAAACATTATTATAGGTACTCTACTAAGCTAATAAGATAAGTGAAAAAATAACAGTTTTATTACAATAGTAAGTAATACTTGTATCTTTTGTAAACTTAGTACTGCAAAATCTCTAAGGAGTTTCCAAAAACATAAAGCACAAGTTTACTGATTTTGAATTTTAATTGAAGGCCTGTTGTCTTTTCATTCATTCTTCTATCAATAAATATATGTTAGTTATTTAAGGTACAGTTGGTATTGTTACTTCTTGAGCAATCAATATAAATTTAATGAAGGTATAATGTAAATAGATGGGTACTTACAACACAGAATTTGGCTGAAAATTGGGCAATGGCAGATGAGAGGGCCTTTGAATCCATTTTTTGTTCACTGGTATTACTAGTTTCTAACACCAAAAGAAATGTAACTAGAACAATTGAAATAATTCGTTAAAATTGAAGCTCGTACTGATGACGACCACACACGTACACTAGCCGAATGTTTATGACATCATTGCCGGCGCGGCGCCGCCAGCCCGCCTCGGCAGACCTCAACATCGTCGTATGAATCACAATCAATGGTGGGGATTCAAGGCTATTTAAAATTAACCTCGCAACAAATTCATAACAATTTTAAGATAGAAAAATGCACTCACGTATTAAAGTAGTTAGATTCCACATCGATTACCACGAATATTGACAATATCTCTAATGTAACATAATTTTTACATTACACAAATACTTTTGATAGATAAATGTACACCAATTTACCCAATCGTATGATTTTGTTTAATCTTATCTTTATAAACACATTCTAAAAGTTAGTAAGTGGTGAAGAAAATAATACAAGTTTATTAAGTTTCACACAGAAGCAGACCTCTAAATCAGTTTCATTTCCTATGTAATATGTTTTGGGATTACACTACTCAGATTTATTTGATTTAATGGGCTATATGATTCTACAATGCATGACCCAACTGAATTAACTGAAACATAAATATTTACAAAGTAATGTCAAAGTCACTTTGAAGTTTACAATTAAGTTTTAAAATGTTAAACTAAACGTCGCGTCGGTCGTGCAAATGTCAAATCAACGCAGCATTTAATTTCGGCAACATTCCGAAAAAATATGTCATTGATATCTATAGTCAGAATTTTAATTAGATTCCAGATTTGACAATAGCTACTGTCATTTTGTGAAATAATGATACCACATATAATAGTGTAGTGATGTACACAAAAATCGATAAACAATCGGTGTGTGTGTTTTATAATAAATGTTACAGAAAATGACAAGATAGCGATAGCGATGACGGCGACAATTTATAAAATAACTTATTACCATAATACATCTATCTGTTTTATTTGTCATGTTCCTTCATGATTACATTTTTTTATTTATTTCACACACAATTATAAAAGAAACGTCTCAGATCGTTAATTAATCGTCAAAACTAAATTATCGGTCAGAAATATTTAATTTCCTGATAAACTTAGTTCACGAGATTAAAATTATAATTATTATAAACGAGAAGAATCGATCCAGAAATATTTCATTTCCATATCGAATAATTTTGCAACGTCACTATTTAGTACTTGTCATAACGTTGCCACACTGAAATTGTCAAATCTGGAATCGAATTAAAATTCCGAGTATATATATATAAAAGAAAGTCGTGTTAGTTACACCACTTATAACTCAAGAACGGCAGAATAAATTTGGCTGAAAATTGGTAGGGAGGTAGCTTAGAGCCAGGAGACCGACATAGGATACTTTTTAACCTATTTTTTTTACTTTTTCACGAACGGGGACGTGAAAAAATGGGATTACGCATACGAAGTCGCGGGCAGAAACTAGTTAATCATATAATAATAATACCTTGGACGATTCGTATTCGACCGAACGATTTAGTCTGTAAGCCAGCACCAGCGAGAGATGGTGATATTAGATAAGCATATATAAGTACTAATACTTTATAGTTAGGCTTTATAGCCGAAAAGCTTGTTTGGAAGCGCTAATCTCCGGAACTACTGGTTCAAATTGAATAAATCGTTTTGTGTTGGATAGCTATAAAACATTACGCTAGTAACAATGTGTTTAGGAAACCGTGCAAAAGTAGCTATTAGTCGATAACTTGAAAAATGTAGGTAATTGACTTCCGAGTAGTTACTCGCGATAATTTCTATAGAAACGTTGTTTTTAGCTCCCAAAAGTGTTTAAATAAAAGATATTTGCATCGAAGACACTAAAGAGGTTGTTTGTTTGAACGCGCTAATCTCCGGAACTACTGGTCTGAATTGAATAATTCTTTTTGTGTTGGATAGGGTATTCATCGAGGAAGGCTACAGGCAAAATAGGCTAAACATCACGTTATGATCAATAAGAGAAGATCAGATCCGCCTGCGTTCCAGTGGGATAAAAAGTACCTAGGTACCTACGTGTTTCTCCAGACCATAATCTACTACTGTTTATTTATTTATTTACTGTTCCAAATTTCATCCCCGAACCCTTCAGCAGTTTTGTCAAATTCATAAACTTACAAACTTTCGCATTTATAATGTTATAGTAAGACTATATAAATACTTAAAGAAAGTCGGGTGGCATTACATATTTAGTTGCAAACCTCATCAGAATGTGCAACGTAAGGGACGGTCGAGAGCATGTTAAATAATATTATTAGCTAGTCTTCCCTCAGCCTGTTGGTTTGGCCCTTTTTACTTTTTTTCTTGGGGAAAAATCTTTGACGGGCCTGAAGTTGCAGTTAATGTTGAATAGTTACATTATATTCCATCGGCAATTTACCAGTTATCGACTGAGATGAAATAACTAACAATGGCGACCACATTTTATTCATGATGCCAATCCAAGTTCCATTATACAAATTTAAAATATATTATTGATAGGTTACTTTATAAGTACTAACCTTCGCTGAACAATCATAGAGTCATAATGTGTACAATAAACTAATTAAAAAAAATATGTAAAGATGTCATTATTTCAAAAATCTGTTCAGCTTTCAGCTGAATCACAAAATTTTTTGTATTTTAAAATGTAAGAAAATAAAAATTATAATACTTATTAAATAAAAAATTAGCTGTAAGTTAAATACAATGCGTGGACACAAAATTAGAAGTTTAAATAATATTGTGTACAGCGGGTTTAGGCAATACTCATCATGTTGCCCTCCACAACCACCGCGGTGCGGATGTCCTCCGCAGATTCCTGGCTTTGGCAGGCGCATTGTGCCACCAACAGACTGTCGTCCAGGACCCGTGCCACCAAATCCATGTATGCCTAAATTTCCTGTGAAGGGCGCGTGGAGGAAATATAGAACTTTATTTTTTTTAATTGGAGTCCCTGTAATGATAATTCAAGCTTTTCACGCACTTGGACACGAAACACCACCAAAAGGAGAATGTCGTGACTATGAATACATGAGACGACGTACAAAGAGGTTCCCATGGGGAAGAAGAGGTATAAAATCTTTATTCCACAACCCTCATACTAACCATTTACCAGGAGAATGTGAACCTCCGCCTCTAGATTGTGATTAGTTTTTTTTAAGGTATTTGCAAATTTTATTTGAAATATTTTTACTCAAGGCAAATGCTGCCTACAGTTAAATAATGAATAAAATGCCAATTTCATATCTATAAATTCGTATTTATTTATTTATGTAGATTGTATTCACTACAATAGATAGTTTTTTAGAATATGAAACCTAAATTTTTTTGTACCATGACTGTGGCAAAAAAAAAAGCGCACGGCCGAACGGCAAAAAAGTGCAACACATGGGGCATTACATGCACCTTGCCCACACTTAGCAAACCTATTTACTCCTTTCTTGAAAAACCCCATATTGTAGCCCACCGGGAACAAAACCAAAACGTCTACGATAAATATCATCTACTTACAACGGCACAGGCAAGTCTGTTGCACCAAGTTGTAGGTTACGTCCACACAGACAGGCTTCTTAGTGAAAGAAACGTTCTAGAATGAGCAGCGTGAACATGTGCGCGACCTACCGCACTATGCGCTTGGCGTCTCGAAAGTATTCAAACGTGTTGGTTTTTAGGTGCAAGACACGAACTGTATAAACAAATTACTAAAACATTATAAAAAAAATCAGATTATGGGGATGATGAATACAACAACACGGCTACATGTCATTGGCTGGCTACGTTCCAGCAGCGTCCTGCTACGGAGCACGTAGCGACTACGGCGTAGCCACCACGATTAATAAAATATGACATACAAGTACATACCCTTAGTACCTACTATATTTTGATGGAAGTAACCAAATAAAATAAGTTCGTACGCTGTAAACAATAATTAATGACATGTACAATAGGTACCTACGTAAAGAATATGTAACTTCTTAGCTAAGCACTGACAACAGCGACAAGAGCGATATAGAACTTTATTATTAACTGACAAGAGCGACAAGGAAACACTAATTAAATCAAAATGTTTTATAAAATACCTAATTCAATAATTTTATTACAGCCAGGGTCCAGGAAAATAAGTGTTTTCCTGATGAACCAATTGTAAATTAATAAATATTATTATAAAATAAACATATTAATAAAATTCTATTTATGAAACGATGTTAATGAAATTGTTAGGAGGAAAAATGTATGCAATGGTTCTAGCTAATCATTAATTTTATTTATTTGGCAACCGAGTTCAGCACTTCATTGTATAATAAGACTTTATCATTTTGTTATTTATAATTTAAATCCTAAGTTTCAGTTTATTAATTAATTGTCTAATGCTGGAATACTGAAACGTTACTCAATTTTAAGTAGGAAATGAAATACATTTTGCAAAGCTAGGAGCAGGCAGTGCCCCTATTACAATTTCAAATTAGTCAATAAAATCACTTTAAGATATTTTCGTTTAAAATACCGCTTGCAAAATAAGAAGAATAGGCAAAAAACTAAAAACCGGTTTATATACTTTATTACACGAAAAAAGAGGACCACTTGATGGTAAGCGATCAGCGTCGCCCACGGATATCGCAACACTATATGAGTCACAAGTGCGTTACCGCTCTTTTAAAAAGGAGTACGTTCAAAGTTTGTAAGTCGTATCGGTTCGGAAATACCTCAGGCGATACTCCATTTCACAATTTTACTGTGCAAAACGAGAAGTTTCACAATAAGTGAATTTTGACTCAAAATTCACTATTCAATACAAATATTTTTGTTTCGGGTCTGGGTGTCATGTGTATGTTTGTAAACGCTAGTGTACGGCAATGAATAAAAAAGTTGTTATCTGCCAACCAACAGAGATGGGAATGCAACTGTTGTCGCGTGAGTTGGTGATGAAAAGTCGTACTACGTTGGACACACTACATTTGGTTTTCTGCAGACATGTCCACCATCAAAACTTTACAAGATTTTCGAGATGTAAAAATGATTATAAAAGAAGAGAAATCTCTAAATTATATTTACCCCCAGACGGGTTGCTGGTCTTTAGGACTTAGGGGGGGGGGGGGGGGGAGATTGAGATTCCGTTAACCTCACTCACACGGAAGACACAACCAAACTCTGTTTTAGGCCAGTTTTCTGTAAGGAATATCACTTCGGTTGATTCGCGGCCCATTCGGTTTGGAGTATACCTCCCCATGTGAGATGATTTTGTTACTAACTACAATAATGATGGTCAACATACAAACAGAAAACTTACAATATTTATCTAATTATGTAAAAAACTCAACATGTTTTATTTCGAAAACGGACTACGTAGCACGTAGTGGGCTGCCTACGCAACGTAGCCGTAGCACCCATTTGCTACGAGCCGGCTACACCGTAGCAAACATGAGCTTTAAATTAAATATCTGAAACGCGGCACTGATACAAACAGTGAATCAGTGCCGCCATAAAAGTATAGCAAAGGAGAAGAACGATTTAAACTAAGGTAACAGCAACATGATAGTGCATACGAGGCGCCTACGGAACTGCTACGACGTAGCAAAATAGACTGTTTGTTTTTGGATGTGTTTAATTGTCTTTGTATCAACAGTTTTCAATTTTGTCAGTAATTAATGTACTATTATTATCAATACAATTAATAAACTATGTGTATGATTCCATTTTATACACTTAATAAAAACTAATAATAACGATATTAAGCTCACTACAAAGTGGTGAAAGTGTTGATATATGAATTTACTCCTTTTCGTAAATGTATACTAGAAAAAGAGTACCTGGGATCTCTCGGGACTGGGACTGAATAATGTCTCGAAACATTTGAATCCCAAAGTTAATAATTTGATGTAAGCAGCTGGTGAATACAAATGTGTAGCTAGATCGTTGCATAGTTGATATGCGCACGCATATACGTCGGTGTCGGGTCGCGGGGAACCCGCGGCGGCGCTGTGTGCTCGTGGCGCGCCCTGCCGCGCGATCAATAGCCGCGCTGACGTCAGAGCACGGCGACGCGCCATTGGCCCGCCCGGCATTATTAAATAAACCTCCGAGTGGAGTGTCGCGCCGCGGGCACAGCACCGCAGCACGCGGCGGGCCCGCGCACCGCTCGCGGCTCGCCGCCGCCCGCCATGGCCGACATGCCAGACCTCTCGCATCTCACTCCTGAGGAGCGCGCCATCATCGAAGGCGTCATGATGCGACAGCGCCAGGAGGAACAGCGCGAGCACGAGATCATGAGGTGTGCCACGTACCCCGCGACCCGCCACCCTCGCCCCTCCCGTGTCGCCATGTACACACATCCGACGTACTGCTGTACTGCACCACTGTTATTCGTGAAAGTGCCGTCACAGTGCTGTGATTCTATCCTCATTGTTCTACTTCAATGTTATTTATAGCAAGTACTGCAAATTCGGCCCGCTACATACCGTCGCCTGCTATTGTGTTGTCTGATCCTGTTCAACAATCGCTTTCCACCTCATACCTAGGTCGTTCGAGGACATAAGTACGGTTCAGTAAGGACGTAGACAAACACTTCTTTAGATATTTTTTGTTTTTATTTTATATTTTAATAATTTAATAATGTAACATTTTGTTGCTCGTCCTCTACGCCAATGGCAGGATTTTTTTGGTGCAAATATGTTAGTGTCGCATTAAACATGCAGATTTATGACGCATCATTACAAATTATGATAGGTACCTGTAATAATTAAATTACGCGTTTATTTCTCATTCTTGATACCTACCTGTTTACCGACATCGTTCTCTATCTGGTTTACAATCAATCGATATCGAGTGAGATATTAATATATTGCACAACGGGGTATCTATTTTATTGAGTTAACGTTTCTAAGCTACGTATACTGGGTTTTCTTCAGTTCAAATGAATAGAAATGGAAGAACGGCTCGTAGCCCGACATTTTGCTTAGTATGTTCGCAGCGTATTTTTGCAATTTATTTATCTGACCTACTTTTTGACCTACATTAGAGATAGCTTTAATTTCGGATAAGATACCTATGTACGTATAAAACAGTGGACCCACAGGACTGACAAGTCAGCAGTCGGAACATTATATTTTCATGTAGGAAATTGCTAAATAATTTTGTAATTTAGGAAACAAAGCTTCAATAGAACATGTTATTTTTATTTTAACACTTTTGCAAGTATGATGGATTTTTTTAACAATTGGGTACTAGTGGCCTTTATATAAATGTACTTTGTCCCAAGTGACTGGGACAAAGACATGATGACATTACAAAGGCGAAGGATGGCAGGAGCGCAAAAACTATCGCGGCATTATTCTTTCGAATGTAGTATAGTCAGTTTGTCATTAGTTATTGATTTCAAGAGTGATAGATGACTCTAAAAGCATATGGGACGAGTCCGAAAAGAATGTGGTACAAGTTTTTTTGTTAAAGGTGCATTGTAAAGTAAATAAGTAAGTAGCAAAAATTTTGTGTGCTTTATTGACCTAGAAAGAGTTGTAGATGATGAGTGGGGAAGATTGATGACCGTGGTCAACTCGGTCAGTATATATTAGAAGAACAACCAATTACTTACATCCTTATAGACTAGATTGAGAGCCCACAGCAGATTTTGTTTGGTATTAACTAATGTGTAAGGCAATGCTGTATAGCATTTCTTGGGCTGTTCAACCTATTCATGAATCTGTTAATGTGATGAAATATCTTAGATGGATTTGCTGAATGTTCTAGTACCATAGTAGATAATGTATCATGAGACGGGTATGGTAGAATAAGCATAAAGGTTAATGTTAAAGTAATTAAGCTCGTAAGAATTTCTCAATGAGAAATTCTGAAATAGGTATAAAGAGAGAAAATATGTAGTTTATGTAAAATAGAAACATACATAAAACCTAATAACCATCAACAGTCCGTGAAAGTCCAGTGCAGAGCAGGAACTATGGGTCGCTTATGCATTAGTAAGAGGAATTGGCTAAAATCTTCAGAATCTTCACGCTAAACAGTTGATGGCGTTTGAAATGTTCAGGTTTATCAGAGAGTGCTGCTGCCCGATCTCTGTTAAATATTAATCCATTTATGCCGACAAATAAGAGCCGTCTTACAATATGCATCGGCGGAATAGAGGTAGTGATTTGTAATTTACTCTAACGTAGTTAACATGTATTAAAATAGCAAGATTAGGAAAAAAGTAGTGTAAAAGATCATATTGGAAATATTCTAATTAAAAAAGTTGGAATGTTGGTAGGTACATAGTTATGGTAAAAATTACTCATATTATGAGTTTTTGTTCTATAGTGGTTGATTTAGTTAAATATCATAATCTTTCTCTTAAATATTAGAAAGCTTTAATGTTTAAATATTTGATCGTTATGTACAGACGTAAGCAAGATGAAGTTACGGTGCTTGAGCAGACGATCCGGACTCGGAATGAAATGCACCGCGCAGCTGGTGTAGAGCTAGCTGCAACTTGCCACATCTGCCTCAAGACCAAGTTTGCGGACGGCGTCGGCCACTCGTGCCACTACTGCCGCGTGAGGTGCTGCGCCAGATGTGGCGGCAAAGTTACTCTTCGTTCTAACAAGGTCAACTATTTTAACTACACACCAAACTCAAATTTTAACTTGGTACTCAACCGAGTCCACTTACTAAACTCATCATTTTCCGACATACGAGGAAATTTTGTCACAAATATGTTTTTATTACAGGTTATATGGGTATGTATATTGTGCCGCAAGAAACAAGAATTATTATCTAAAACTGGACAATGGATCCACAAGAGTGCTGGACAAGATTCAATGTTATGGCGCATGGAGAATGATCTCCGAGGTTTACCACCACAACCTGACGGATCATTTGATAAAAGACCGAAACTAGAGAGGGCGCACAGTGCCGCAGAAAAAGAAAACCTCCCCCTTCAACGTTCAGGTAGTGCTCTCCGACGCCAATACAGTCAACAGGACCAACGATGTTATGGGGAACTAGAAGGACTGGCTAGAACGCATCCACATTTAGTTCACCCGAGACAAAAGGCTGCATACGGAGTGGTCGAGACAGGAGCACCTCCCACATCCCAGTTACTGCCGCTCACGCCAGCGTCACATCCCCTTCTTCCGCCTCGGTCTTCCTCGTCCGATGACGAAGCTCCAGAATGCGTTTCCGATGAAAACGACGAGTATCGAGATCGGGGTAAGTATGCACGTTGGCCTAACACCCGTCACCCAATCCTTTCACTTGTAACACTACGAGATCCCTTCCATCCAAGCTAATTTTGTTTATCAACCCTACACATTACACCACACGACACACATCAATCAGGTACATGTACTCTATCCGTCTACATAACGTTGGTCATGTTCATTACGCAATGATAAAGTTAAGGTGTTCCGTGCGAGGTGTTCATTAATTTAAGTAGCTTCAGGTAATTGTTACTGTTAGTTATCTAAGTATTATATATCTCACTGAAACTGATAGTGTTGAGCACCTAAACTTATCTGTGTCCATATATGTATTCCATCACGTTGAATCATGTAGTCGATATTAATCGTATTTCATTGTAACATTTTAGAGCCCGAATATAATAACAATTCAAGACATAAACACTGTTTGCTCAATCAGTCTTATTTTCAGAGACCGTCAAGTCGTAAGGCTTCAAACCTCGCACACAGGAGAATGAGTGCGTGCTAGGTTTGGGGCATTATAATTAGTAAACATGTGATCGTTCGCCGCCACGTACGTTTCGCTTGTTAGCGCCATGCCCTCTGTACGCGCCCGGTAGCCTCCCGGTAGCCCCCGGTAGTCGCACCGCCTGGCGCCTGGCGTTCTGGCGACGAGTGGCCCTCACCACGCCATCCCCTGTTCGCAGGTACAAATAATGATAAGAGCAGTTCCGAGAGTTCCAGAAGCCAGCGTCAGACGATGTTAAACGAGAAAATGAATAAATTCTTATCGGTGAGAGGGCGAGTTTGTCGGGAACCTATCTAACTATGCGTTGTAATTATATTGCTGAAGTTTAGATGTGATGATCAGTATTACTGTTACGTATGACACTTCTTACTCTGGTGAACCAATTGTGATGGCTGTTGATATCGTCCTATCTCTTCGAAGACAACCGTCTTCAAACCTGTTTTAAGAAGAGCATTCATTAATTTCTTTAAGTATCAGTTATTACTTGTATTTAAAAAATAAATGTGAAAATAAAGTAAGTTTCTAATATTAAATTACTGAATGTTCTTCTTTTTCAAAGTTTCCTATTGTTTGAACCAAAAATACGATGTTACATAAATATTACAACGTACCTTTTTATTAATGCTGTAATTATTATTTTCCATTTTAGTTGCTTCAGCACATTATTTATGGTTCAAACAAACGCATGCTTGGGCGAAAAGAAGTGTACTTGTTCATATTTTTTATTCTAAATCCGTTAGAACTGTTTGTGGTCGTGTACTTTATTTTATTGTTGCTGTTTTACTGTCTTACTCGGATAAGTTTGACACATTCTTTCCGCTTCTGCGTGATGATCACCGCTTTCGATTACTTTATTTTAACCGAAGAAACACGCAGTTTTACTTACTTAAAGAAATCATATTTTCGGTCAATACCACGATCCTATGTCGAGGGATAATTAGATTAGAAATATAGTAAATAGTAGTTCGTACTTCGTTTCTGGGCGCGTACAAGCGCATGGGTCCATAACAAGAACGGACGCGGGCGATGACAAGTTGCCTCTATAAGGCAGACATTGTTATTCATTCGATATCATTCTTAGGACAACTAGAGGCATGTGCTCCAGTTCGGCACCCACATCTGCGTAGCGCCAACGTGGATGCCAACAATTATTACAATTTGATTAATCATTCGCCGGCCGATTACGAGGCTGAGGCTCGCGCTCAATTCGACGTGCCGAGGACCGGGCCATCAGGTGGACGCAGCTTTGATTCTGTGACCGATTGCCGGTGGCGGGCCCGAGACGATGGCGAAGGTGCGTACCTTCGGCCGTATGCACCAGAAGAGGGCCCGCGCCCAGACCGAGCTGTATATAAGAGTGCCTATTTGTGGGAAGACTCCTCAGACAATAGACGGTTCACTGAGAGGAGAAAAAAGACCGTTCGCTTTGACGGGCACGAAGGCGCCGCGACATTTCCGCGGGGCGGGCGTGACGCGTCTGGCGCGCCGCACGACTGGGCGGCGCTGCGCTGGGAGCCCGAGCGCCAGACCAGCCAGGACTCCGCCACCAAAGACTCGGGCATCGATACCTCTAGCACCTTCACCTCCAGTGAAGATTCGAACAGAGGCGATTGCCCTAAGGTACAGATCGCTTCACATTGTGTCGGTTAGTTGCTTCAATTAGTACTCATTTATCTATTAGTTCAGTTTACGGTTTGATTATGCGTAAAATCTAGGAAGACGTACGTAATAGATGATTGAGCTATATTATTATAATATTTGTTTAATAAATACGTATTGTTTACGTCACTTAGCGTTACCAAAACCAAATTCACATTTTGTTTCAATGAAGTTAGGCCTTTTACTATAGCTAACTTTTGCGTTCCACAAAAGTTTCTACTAAGTTTATGTATTTAATTTTATGGACCACTATGATACTTGTTTTAAAAAACAAAAGTAGAACGCGTGCGAGGTATAATAAGACATTAATTTCGAAGAATATTATTGGCTGTAGCATGATTGCATTGGCGAGCATGCATTACATCCTATCTATGTTGAGTGTGCACTTCTTTGTAAATTACACGGTGTTAAAGCTTCGTGGAGTAGCTGTAATGTTTTAATAACATCGATAACTTAATCATTTAGACTATTGACGTATCAAATAAGTGCCAAGTGGAAATATCGACTAATGAATTTAATGTGATGGTGTCGTACAGTTTCCGCTGAGCTGGCAGGTGTCTGCGGATGGCACGCGCATGATCGGTCACATGGTGCTGCGGAAGAGCGTCGTGGAAGGTAGTTCACATTCTTCGGCGGCTATCCTCGGCCTGAAAGTGGTTGGAGGCAAACTCCAACCAGACGGTACGAGAATTGCAGTGGTTGAAAAGGTCAAGAAAGGATCCATAGCGGACCTTGAAGGACAACTTAGGATAGGTGAGTGAGGTCATCTATTTTGTAAAGAGTAAGGAATATGGAACGTTATAACATTTGAAAATAACTTAAAATTATATAAAAACTTATATGTATTTTGATTGGTAGGTGATGAAGTTTTACAATGGAACGGTGTGCCGCTTCAAGGCAGAAGCGCGGAGGAGGTGGCCGCAGTGGTAGCGGACAGTAAGCACGACCTGCACGTGGAGCTCGTGGTGTCGCGACCTCTCACCGCGACGCGCACGCCTGCAGTGCCCTGGAGAACTCACAAAGGTACCTTCTGAACATAACATTACCATTTTCCGCCGTCCACATCTTCATCGCTAAACACAAGAAATAATAATATTTTGACTCAGTCATAAGTAAAATTTGTTTCAATTTCGGATCTGAATTACTTCGTTGTATACCTGAACAAATTACGTAGCGTCACCAATGGGGTAGATTCAATTAAACTTTCTCGGTTGACACCACTGGTAATGGTAGGAAATAAAAGTGACAAGTCATTCCCTATTGTCACCACTGCAGTGGTGACAAATGGTGACCCTGATTACTATCGCAATCATAAGCAACTATTATTAACCCTAATCAGTTACTACATTATTAACACTAAAACGTGAAAACTAGATTTATGAACGAAAATTGCTGGTAAATTAATCAGCTAAAGAATGTTTTCCGTAAAGAATTAAATTGGTTCTACGTCCACAGAAGTGTACACGGACGTGATGGGTGGTTGCGAAAAACCGAGTGTGTTGGTGACGTCACCGGGATCTCCAGATGTACATTCACGGCGTCGACCCACGCGATACAACCACCACAACGCAAATGTAGCTGGACGCATCCAGGTAAAGAAAACACGCCCGTGAAAATCTAATCGTATATATAATAAAAATGAATCCCTTTTTCCCTCGGTCACAGCATCACGCGTGAATGGCTGGACTGTGGGCTGGACCGATTTCACTAATTCTTTTTTGTTGTATTTGTTACTAGCAACCCGCCCCGGCTTCGCACGGGTGCAATATGCATGTATTATACCTCTACACATAAACATTCCTTAAGAATCACTCTATCTTTTAAAAATACCGCACCCAAATCCGTTGCGTAGTTTTAAAGATCAAAGCATACATAGGGACAGACAGACGGCGGATAGCGACTTTGTTTTATACAATGTAGTGATTCTTAGGAAAAGGTTCTAAAGACAGAAAAATTCCTGAAAATCCTATGAGATCGGGCGAAAACGAGATTGCGCGTACGAAGTCGCGGGCAGAAGCTAGTAGGAATTATAAATGCGAAAGTTTGTGAGGATGTATGTGAGTGTGTGTGTATGTGTGTTTGTGTGTGTATGTGTTTGTTACTCGTTCCCGTCAAGACAACTGAAGGGATCGGGATGAAATTTAAAACTGGGGTAGATTATCGTCTGGACTTATTCCATAGACTACTTTTTATCCCACGGGAACGCGGATGAAGCCGCTGGCAGAAGCTAGTCATATACCTCATAATTATGCCAATACGGTAGTTGACAACTAGTCAAATTCAATACTTTTATCGAAACGTCAAAAACGATACTGTTCTATGAATTTTGTACGAAATACTAGCTTATGACGTCATCATATTTTCGCGTCAAATAGCACACTTATATCTGAAGAAAATGCAAGAATAAATCGAAAATTAAGTATATCGGCAAATCAATGATTGAAAGTGTAACTATTTTTCAATATTTAATTGGATTGAAAAATCAAAATAATTTATTTTTGACCCAGGCAACTACCCAATTACAATTAGCCACTTCATGATTATAGCTTAGAATAGGATTAGGCACAAAATGGATTGGCAGTAGTTGGATGGGCATCCTGGCGGTGTCAGATTAACCACGTAACCAAACTCACATCTAACTCAGAACTCTTTTTTTAGTAAAACGACATATACTAAATTGTTTAGGGTTCAGAGCTACAATAGAACTTTACCGTATTCGGTTGGAGTCATACTTCCATCATGTAAAATTGTAAATTATCCTTAAAATTTGCTTGAGGTCCCACGCCTTATTCATCCGCCATTGCATCTCGGATAGCAATAACCGTGTGTGGGTTTCTTCTGCTGTGTATATGTTTCATATTACACACTCGCGGTCAAATTAACCCAATCTTCCAAATGTTGGAGACCGAGTTAACTTTTATTCGGGCAATATTCCAGAGGCGAGTCTACGCTATTAATCTGGCGCAATTCCAATCCCAGCTTATTCGTTTTTATTGAGGTTCTCGTAACAAAAACTGGGTCAAATATCCGACTCGCAGTCAACTGCATGTTTTCGTATATTTATAAATACCTTTAACATTGGAATAATACAGTAAGATCTGATCTAAGGAGCTAAGGTGATTAGAAGATAAGTGCTTAAGTAATATTCCAATTTTGACAGCTCAAAATTTACTTCGACGTCTCCGCAACACAGCTGTGTGTAACTGTAGTGTCGGCGAGTGGACTCACTCCGCGGCCCGACGGCTCACCTCGATGCCCATACGCGAAACTGTTCCTGTTACCCGATAAAAGCGAGAAGAGCAAAAGACGAACGAAAACTTTAGCTAACACCCTAGAACCACGATGGAATCAAAATTTTGTCTATTGTGGAATTCGAATAACAGACATAAAGCGAAGAACTTTAGAAGTAAGTGTTGTTGTATTGTATTACTAATTTGGATGCTCCATAAGAACCTTTTAGTTTTTTTAGCAGTGTAGAAGTAAATAAATAAAAATATTATATAAACAAATAACTAATACCTAATTAACTCGTCGAGTACCGGTTTTATAGACACAATTAAAGAACAATAGGTCGCGGTTACCGGTGACCGCTTGGTGTTTGACAGATTAAGAACTTACTAAGTCATACTTTTTTATTTTTTTAGGTAACCGTTTGGGACTTAAACCGCTATGGCCCAAACGATTTTCTAGGGGAAGTCCTGCTTGATTTAGACAATATCGTGATGAACCATGAGCCTACATGGTACACGTTGAAGCCACACGAGGAAATGGGAAGTTTCAGCGTAAGTATTTTGTTAAATTTACATAAAATAGATGACGGTCCCAGTCATTAAAGTCGCAAGTTCTATGAGACAAAAATTACCCTTAAATCCAAATTTTGGGAGATTTAAACCTTATGAGAATAAAAATCAATAGAGTAGAGACTAAACAGGGATAATAATTCGGACCGTGGTTTCTACCCACTTCATTTTTAGGTCAGATTATGATTCCCATGCAGGCTACAATGCCTTGTTATACAGTTGGCTCATTTCCAAGCTCCCTTCGATCGAATCAGGAACAGTCGTATTTGTAACTTGTAGCAGGAATTACATATGCTATCTAGCTGAGCGGTATTGAAGAAATAGAATATGTTTAACTCACCAGAGGTACCGTGAGGACGAGGCCGACGGCGAGCACCTGTCTCCTCCGTCGACGTCTACCTCTCGACTCTCTGACTCTGATACGCCGAGCGAGTGTGACCTGCGAAGACATCATTCACTTTCAAGCCTCGCTTCCAGCTCCAGCCCGCCGCCGCCACACGATGTAAGTATTCCTCCTTGTATAATAAACATGACCTTATTACTGTAAAATGGTGGGTACTGTGTGTATAAAAATGCATTTTGAACCTGTTTAATTTAAGAACATTTGTGTTTTCGAAATACGACTTAATGTTCCAGTTCCTCGTAATCTTCTCACAAGTACGCTAAGGATGATATTAATATTTTCTCAGCGAATGGACATGGAGGGAGCTCGATCTAGCCGGCGCGACATGTCCCCGGCGGGCCGGGTGAGGGCTGCGGGCATGAACAGAGAACGCGTGAGTTACTTCCACCTAACAAGTACAGACTGCCACCCGTGGCTATTTACCCCATCACTAATAATGACATACAACAGCCAACAACTACTGACGTGTGTCGTAGAACTAACAACGATTGATTGAAACCAAAATTTCGGTTAACCCAATCTAATTAATCACAAGTGATAATTTTATCTTAAGATCGGGTTCGAATCCTGCTTAGTATATTGGTATTTAAATGTTTGCACGACTTTCAGATGAACTAAATATCCTGGGGTACATATTTTCCTCTCAGAAGAAAAGAAATTAACAATACCTACCTATGTAACATATGAAAATGGTCCTTACTATCCTACTTTAAATGTTCTGACGTAAGTACAATATAACACCATAGTTACATTACAGGACACCGTATTACTAGTTCTTCATCGGTATGAGCCATTACAGTTAGCTACTATAGCTGTAGCTTTAATGACAATGACACAGTATGGGCTCAGCAAGGGGAGTCGGAAGGATGTTGTATGTTAGGAGATATAACGTGGCGATGTGTCTGTGTAGAGCGGCGGGTACGCAGTGGCGCGGTCGCAATCGGCGGCGGGCGTGGCGCGGCCGGCGCGCGCGCGCAGCAAGTCGCCGCGCCGCTCGCTGTCGCCTCCGGCTGACCGCGACGCTTGGCGCTACACAGGTGCCGCACCGGCGCCCTAAGACTCTACCCACCAATCACAACCACGGACGCCGACATTGCTAACTTTGTCGGCGTTCGAAACTCTTTTCCGATTGGTCCGTGGACGTCGCAATGACAGCGGGCCTCGACCCCGCACGGAACACTGTCGTCGAGACACGCACGTTCTTTCGCCGCGTCCGCTCATCACCACTTTACTGCCACTTACTGTTTCACTTCCTAGCTCTGTTCCACTTTGATTTTGTTTCATGCATCTTCCGCTGACCTCGTCCTTATCTACCTGATATGAGCACGCTAACCATTGTTATGGGTGTTGACATGCGCTGTATTCCGATTTCAGTTTACAAATAATTAACATGGACGTCAAATCAGTGAATACAGCGCAATTAATTGTTAAATGTTAATGTAATTCATTTCATAATTAATGATTGCATGTAATTCTGAATCTAATATAACTTATGACTTATCTTTTAAAGGCTACCTTCGTAAGTTTGTTGTACCTGTACCTACTTACCTACCTACTTGTTTTGTATGACTTAAAGAACCTATGTCTTGTTTGTTATGTATGAATGTATTGTAATTTTGTATTTACTAATAAGTATGAATAAAAATCAAAGTTTCAATTGCATGTATCTAACATGAATTTAAGAGAAATATGAAACCAATAGGCATGAAACTTATGTTGTGTGTAATATCGCAGTGAACGAGGACCGAGGTGACGGGTCACGGTTGCCGACGCACGCGTACGCGCCACGTTTCCAGTCTCGTTCAGCCACGGCCACCCCTACTACCAGCCCCAAGAAACGACAACTGCCACAAATACCTCATCACCAGGTAAATATTTTAATACCTATATTATTTTTCTAAGATAGTAGACAAATGGAAAAGTAAGAAAGAGTACAAAGAGGATGTTAAAGACATGACGTTTCGTTAGGGCGGGCAGAGAGCGGTGCGCGCGCAGGTGTCGGCGGACTTGGAGGAACGTAAGTGGATCGCCCCGCACCACATTGGCGCCACACTCACCTACCGCAGCACGCCACAAGGTCAATACACGCTGCCCCGCTCCTGTTACCTCCCCCACCCCCACTGCCCTATAAATGTTACCAGACAGTTGCATACACTCATATCAACGAACATAAATTTTAGCAAGTAATTGTGGCAAGCAACCCCTTACAAGGGAATGTGTATACAACTATCAGGTACAACAATGTGACAATCTGCTTTACTACACTTCACACAATAGTTCGACATTATGTTGTCTTAGAATATAGTGCAGTTGTTTCAGTTAATATCTAATTCATAAGTTAAATCTGGTGCCAGTACATTGTAATTGTAATAATTTAGTACGTATTGGAAATATACTGTCTACCTTACAACGATCAAAACCCTAATCATTAGTATAACAGACCCTTCACGGACTGATTTATCCAGGGAGGCCGTAAACTAATCGTTTCTACTGTATGTTTACTATGACGCTCACATTAACACCCTGGTGGTCTTATAGATATAATAAAGTTCTGTGGGTGGTCTAATGCGAGTTCCTATTTATGTTAACGCGATCAAAACGTTACCGCGTTTAACCTTCTGATTGGTTGGTTTATTAGAACGAACCATTCAGATCGTCGAACTTTAACACGTTAACCGCCACGTAGGTCACCGGTGACCTACGTTAGCGGAGGATTTTCCTTCAACTGTTTTTGTCGGCAGTCAAAGGCTTAAACCTGTCGATCGCGTTAACGTCAAACAAACTCGTACTACACTAGGTGCTCAGATGGGTAGTGCATGGACGGAGTATCAGTCGAGATCGTCGGCACGATTGACCGTCGTCAAAAATGATTAAGACATCGTGACGTCAGTAAAATGGAAAATCGGTTTTCGGGTGCCAACAATATCAGACTGACACTAAACGCGCTTACCAGTACCTACTAATAGTAATAGGGAACTTATAGTTTGACAATTGCACCTATATAGTCACCTACAGAGAATTAAAACATGAATAGTGTACCTAATGAATGCTTTGTCACATTATTCTTTTATAAAATTTGTATATCAGTGAGAACAATTATAATGTAGGGTGGGAAAGACATTACGCAGGACTGTCCGACTCAGAGTTGGCAGCTCGCAGCGGCGGTGGCGCGGGCGCAGGGAGCTGGGCCCGCGACGCCGACTGTCACCCGACAACGCGGCGCAGGACTCCGACCTTGAGTCCGTCGCTTCCGTCACCTCCAGCGCCTTCAGCACGCAGTCCGAACGACCACGGCCCACCAGGATGCTCAGGTACGTTGATACACACGTCCACTACCGTGGGTTACAACCAACATATAATTACAATATTAGGGGTATATCTACTCAAATCAGTTTCAATATAATTCAGAATTAAAGTTAAAAGTTATTATTAACATAACTTTACAGCCGGAAACGAATTCTCCCTCATAGTACATCTTCGTCTTGCGATAGTGCTACCCCTGTTCCTCATTCGTACCCAATCCTCCGTAATGATCGCCCCCCACGCCGACTCCTACCGTCTGTCAGTATCCCGGCGGGTGCGGAGCGCGCGGTGCGGCGCCGGCTCCGGTCGCACCCGGCGCCGCCGCCGGCTCACCACCGCGCTCGCCCCACCCGCCGCTTGCGTCGCATACTAGCTCGCAGCCGCTCGGCCGGCTCCTGCACTCGAGAACACCCTCACCACCGGCACGCTTATGAACGCAGTCACAGCTGCCCCGAGTATCCCGTGTACACAAACACATATAAAATTACTGAAAACAAAAAAGATTATATCTTCCATATGACTTTGTCCCGTACCCCGAAACCATCATTACTTACAACGATTTCTATAAATAGGGAGCAAAGATCTTTGCCCGGTAACATATATTATGGTCCAGGACCAATACAATTAAAAGCAAATCAAAAGTATATGCATCAGACTAGAAAAAAAATACAACTTCAACCTGAATCCAGTGACTGGGATGAAGAAATGCCTTTTAACTTAATGACTAATAGAGAACATTATCAACCAAATGTAAGTGTTAGACGAAGGCGACTTCCAGTAGTAGACAATATAACCAATTCGCGCATACGAATGCTTCCTGATATTCCTTCTATTAATTTAAGTAACAAAATTGAACAAAATGCAATTAGCTCTTGTGCTGTTGATTTAGTACAAATGGAAGTAATAAATTCTCAACTTTACAATAATGATTGTGATGATACACCAGATCATAATTCAATCCAAAAAGAGAATCGAAATTATTCAGACAGTTTAGGGGAAGAGAATTCACATGATATTAAAAAAGCAACCGAAACTGAACCTAAATGCGCATGAATTGATAAATATAACAGACACTAATCCAATCATATCTCAAATAAATAGAAAAAAGTTTTTATCCCTCGATTTGAAAACCAATTATGAACAAAAAAGTCCTAATCAAACAAAACCATTAGATGTAAATGAAACTCAAGATGATATTAAAAACCCTATGCCCAATATCAAACCCTTAGTCAAAGTAGATAAGATACAAAAACCGAAATTAGAACGAAGACGAAATTCTGATTCGCTAGTCATTTTGAAAACTTCACCACAAGAGTTATCAACACCCGACCAAATAAGAAACTTGTTTAAGAGAATGAGCATTACTTCAAAAAATACTTTAGACTCGCCTCCAGAGTCCAAAGTGAAGATAAAGTACGGCAATAGCGTTAGTATTAATGAAGTTCCCACTTTCCAAGAATATCGTTCCCCCAATTCCATTTCCCCTCAATCTAGTATCGACTTATCCTTTAAAAAACCTTTGCCTTCCATTATTAAAAAAGCTCGACCCCGGTCATATTCTTTAGCAGCGACATATCATTTAGATCGAGAATTTAGTATTATGGCTAATTCTTTGTCTGTTGCTCTTTCTCCCCCGAACCTCGGCTCGCCCCGTCGTGCGCTCACTCCTGTCGCCTCACACCTGCCACTTGATGACATTCATCACGACATTCATGATGTGTCGGTGGAAACTCCCATGTTGGATGGACCGACGCCGACGGCCGACGCCATATCTGAATCGGCGCGCTCACCACCTCCAACTAACCATCGTCGACGTGAAACAAACCGTCAAATAAAACAATCGATGACAAAACATGAAAAACCTGTACACCGACGGAATTCGAAACGTAGTAATGACTATGGTGGACGAGACAATGGACGCGGCAATGGCAGCAACCAACAGCAACAACCCTTGGAGAGGCGAGAGTCACGTCGAGGTCAATTTACTAGGAGTTTGAGCAATGCAGATGTGCCACCGGATGAAAAAGCAGGTAATTCGTAAAATATTGTAATGGTTTATTGGTATCTAAAACTAACATTTAAAAATAAGGTGTGACTTTTACTAAAGACGGCAGCCTAAGTGACACTGCTCTTGGCGGAGCAGGCGAACTGGAGCCTGCCAACGACGACGTTCTACTGAAAGCGGAACCTCGAGACTACTTCGGACCTGGCATGGGCAAGAAAAGCAATTCTACTTCACAATTGTCGGCAACAGGTGAATTAAACATCACCAATTATTTTATAGATTCTACTGAATTCCCCCCTACGGGAATTAGATGTGCAGAAAGTAAACAATTTAAGTGTTGGTGCGATAATCACAGGTCGGAAACGGAGGTTAGGTTTCGGTAAACGTGGGAAAAATTCGTTTACGGTGCAACGAAGCGAGGAAGTGGTGCCCGGCGAAATGCGTGGAGGCATGAGTGGAGTCTCTCGGGCTTCTTCAGCCTCTAGCGAGAACGACGAAGACAGGTTCGCGGTGTTTGTCACCGTCGACATTGACACAATAGTGTGGCACCTGGCCCGGGGCGGTAGATCACTCGCGTATTGACACTTCCACGATACAAAGGTCGCGAAGAAACGACAGAGAGACCATCTGCATAAAGATGTAGTTCAAACAGCATGTTATAAAATGCCATAAGACAAATTAATGTGCTATGTCGCTTCTGTAAAGTCAGCTAATGTAGAGAGAGCTTTTTCTGGTTAATGTGAATTTTAATGCTGACGAGAAAATATTTGCACCCCACTTGAAGATACTGTTCCAAATTGGTAACACCCGTCTATTAGATATTTATATAACTGAGAAAGTAAATTATTACTACTATCTTCAAATGATCTGTTTGATTCGATAACTTATATCAGTACGTATGTAATTAAAATAATTGTCATTGTATGTACCTATCTATGTGGAATTTGTTTTGATCCCACTCCTTATAGGTAAATAAGGAAAAAGAAATTGTATATAAGTTTAACCAATTTCCAAATCAGAAACCAGATACTCAAAAGAAACAATTAATACCTATGTGAAATAATTTGTTTTGAAAACTAAAGAAAAGATCACATCAATCATACATTTACAACTGACCTACCCACTGTCGTTAAATGGTGGTTGTTCATATAGAGACAATGTTTCGCAAAGGTATGAATTTCTGAAAATGTAGATTAATGTGCTTTTGGACGGGTAATAAATGTATGTTGCGCCGTTGTCCGTGGCGGGCGTGTTGGCGTCGCGTCCGCCGGGCAGCGCGCGCCAGTCGTGTAGAGGGCGGCGGCGCGCGACGCAAGCGCTCCGGCACCGCCACTACGGCCTTCAAGCGGTCGCACGAGGTGTGCGCCACCAGCCTTGTCTCCATATCTAGCTCGGAGGGATCCTCGTAAGTCGCCCGCTCGACCGCTCCGTTTTACGCCGCAGTTTGCAAGCTGCCTGCAGACTTCCATTTTGTATGTGCGCCTCGATGTTGCTCGCGTCTTCTAAATACTTTGCCCCTCTCTATGTGCCTTTCGTCTTGTCAAAGCATGATTCCAGTTATATTGGTGTGTTTCACTCATACTTTTCTGTTCAGCACGCACGTGTCTTCTCTTGCATAGGCATCGCACCTTCTCGTACGTACGTAACATGAAACCGCTACATTATACGCCGAAGAACCTGCGTGTTCGACGTTTCTACATTTTCAGTCACATATCCAGGGACAGCGAATTCGTCAGTCGAAAGTGAAGCGATCCTGATTTCATGATGCACGATTGTGATTGGATGATAAATGTTGCCTGAAAGCCTATGATGTATGCACTTATTTTTGGTCCGTTACACAAATTTTCCATTTTTGTCTAATCGTTGTACACATAATATCTACATCAACAATCATGCATGTCTCACTTGAATATCACTAGTACTTTCCATAACAATGTAAGTAACATTATCAAAATTGGAGTGTCAAAGCGTGGAGAGTTTTATAACATCACTGTTGCCTGCATTGTGTCATAAAAGCTTAGGAAACGTGATGTCAGAAGAGTGCAGGTTTGTTGTTGTGTTATTCGCCTATGACTTTCTAGAGCTAAATAAATACCTACCACAATGTTAAATTAATGAAATTGTAGATAGACTGAATCCGAGTTAGAATAGATATGAATCTGTACGATCCAACTTTATTTAGTATTATTTTATCAAACATTATCTTCATAGACTTAATTCTATTTAATTCCACTAAGATCTACTACCTATCTACTTAATAGATGCAGACCATTCTCTAGCGTTTCTTGCACCTTTACACAATTACATCTACTAGTTAGATGTCTTGATACTTTAATAGAACCTAGAACCTGGAATCCACGTGCTCTGCCTAACTTTACCAATCGATGCATCCGAACGACTACCGCCCTTTTCTTCACTATTGTATCAATGTTGTAAATGTTGTATTTAATTATTATTTTTATTAACTATTTCCTTTAGTAGTATCTAAAAGGTCTGGTTAATATTTTTATTATTACTTATTATATCTTCTATGTGATTATCTTAACCTTGTCTTGAAATATTTCCCATCAATAATATTCATTAATTTGAGTAAAATCAACCATTTTTGTAAATTTCTTTCTATCATGCATTCAAAGTAGGTATTAAATTAAAAGTAAAGTCAGCAATTCACGAGTGCCTCCTGACATGATCAATTCCATATAGACAAACACAGAGGCATCCTCCTATAGAGCCACTTGCGCCATTGTAAAAATATATATAGGATCTTGACATATGATTGAAATTAAAAAATACTGATGTGGACTCGTGAATTGTTGTTCTGTCTAGTCCACAAAAAAAAAGTCTAAATAATAGTGATGGGCCAATTTCTCAAAAAGCTTGGCATTCATCAAGTTCTCTCATAGGTCTGAACATTATAATGTGTTTCACCTGTTTTAGATGGTCTCCTGGTATGAGAGGCTCTGGCTCAGATGGAGGTGGACTCTCCGATTTCATCGACGGCTTAGGGCCAGGACAACTAGTCGGCAGACAGTTACTGGGCGCGCCCACGCAGGGCGACGTCCAACTATCCATGTGTTACCAGAAAGGATTTTTGGAGGTTAATACCTATTATATCTGCTAAATATACCTTTTATTTATTAGTAATTAATACAAATAGTGTTTAACACGATTAATGAATAAAAAGTGTATTAACCAGTTTGGTGGTTTTTTAGGTGGAGGTAATCCGTGCTAGAGGTCTGGTATCACAGCCAGGCAGACGGACCCTGCCTGCGCCTTACATTAAAGTGTACCTAGTTAGCGGCAAGCGTTGTATCGCTAAAGCTAAGACGAGCACAGCGCGCCGAACGCTCGACCCACTCTATCAACAGACGCTTACCTTTAGAGAAAACTTCAAAGGTTGCGTATTACAGGTAAGCTAACTTCATTCATGTCTACTCACTCCTCTAATCAACGACTGGTGTCCTTTTATAGAATCACCATCAGAGTCAAAAACATCAATAAATAAATAACTATGCACTTTCAGTTTTATAACGTCTTGTAATGCATATGATCATATTCCTAGGTGACAGTGTGGGGTGACTACGGACGCATAGAGGGTAAAAAGGTGTTCATGGGTGTGGCGCAGATCATGCTGGATGACCTAAACCTATCTAATATTGTCATAGGATGGTACAAACTCTTTGGAACTACTTCATTGGTAAGCCTTCGCTTATTTCAATAACATTAAAGACTATATTGCTATGCTGTGAAGTGTTACTAATCACAATTGTTTTCCCTTGCAGTAACCAAGGTTCTACACTGTGTACAAGTGTCGAGTGAACCTATATCACAATAAAAATTATAAATTGTCCAAATAATAAATTTAGTGATACTGCTTTAATATCATAATAAAACGCAAAATATCTTGAATATAGGAAATTTTCTATAAAACGAAAGGTATAAAATAATATTAATAATAATAATAATTTGTATTTTTATTTTCTTTTGGAATGCCTACCGGAGTTTTGAATAGATAGCATTTTATAGCAATGAAACAAATGTATAGTGTACTCAATAATATGTAATTAAGTATTAAAAGCCAAATGCAATTTATGTATATTCTTTATCCTTACCAGCCAATTTCACCACTATTGCACTATAGGTGTCTATACCATTGATTGTCTAAAATTCATACTAGAAATATAAAAAAGCAACACATTTGTAGTGAAATTGGCTCAAGAATCCTATTTCTCCCAATCTTATAGGAATAAATAAATCCTGGGTTGTTAAAAAAATAAAGTCAATATTTGAATATTTATATTCCACAGATATGTGTATAACATTTCCATATTTAGCATATCCATCTCATTGCGTCTAATACATCAATCAGTCTAAAATTACCGCGGGACGTGAACAACGGTAACAAGTCCATAAAATTATACTTTACATTCAACATATTAATTACTAGCTAGAGGAAAGAGGCAAACTCAATGTGTACTGGGGTTGATAGATAAAGAATTCTGTTTACAAAACGACATGAGATTTCACTCTCAATAGTTACTTATACTAAAATAACATAGTTAGTAAAGTACTAACCTTGATTTAAACAAATCTGTAGTCCTGTACAAACTAATGTATTGGTCTATATTAAACTTGTAAAACTGTCACAAACTCAACACTTAGTGCAATATTTGCTTGGGTTGCTTGGAAGGTGAAGCACCCGATAGTCTGCCTTCCCCTGCTCTCTTCACGCCCGTTGATTTTATATCTGCAATGCCAAATTAAATATTACAAACATATTTTGTTACTTCTTTAATTTTAATAGTAACAAACAAATATTATGGTATGACATGAGATACTCCTCACACTACAATATCTGTTGATTTACACACTACTGAATACAATCTTCAACAGTGTTTATTGATTTCAACCATAACATTTTACTCACCAACTCTACATAATGGAATTAATAAAATAACTGTAAAAAATGGGACTAATAACAGCTGTCGAAATAAAAATTATATTACTGTATTCCTGATATCAAATGAACGACACAAAACATAATAAAAATAAATATAAGGTCCTCTTTATCAGTAAAATTGTCTAATTTTATGCCTCCTACGAAAAAGGCATAATTTCGAACATCCAACATCACATCATTAGTTAAAAACTATGCTCAACTGACAGAAAATGTAAATGAAAGAACAAAAAATAAATACAAGGTCCTACATCTTAGTCCTGGTCCATAAAAAACAAGTAAAAAAGTAACAAACATAAATAAAGAAAACACTAGTTTCGCGATGTTCGTTGATTCTATGTGAAAAGTAAAATAAAACAAACTATACAGTTTTACACACAACGGCTAGTTACGTTACGCTTACCGACACCAGCGACCGCCGGCCCGCGGACCGCGGACGGCGCGACTCGGCGTGCCATCTAACAGTCCCCGGCCGGGGGCGGCGGCGAACTCTTGACGCCACCTTCTCCACTCCTGTTACTTGTTTGGTTTTTTGCGACAGTACCTGTAGTGTACACATCCTTGTGCTAACGCTCAAACGAGCATTCTGAAAGCACTGAATACTTCACCGAATAGAATAACATACCTCATAATCCTGCAATCCCTTTCGAAATAGTTAAATGCGGCTCTACTTATGTCAATACCACAAAGGTTACAATATCGATGTAGCTGGACAAATAATATCGTAGAAAAACTGCTACAAAAAAGCTAAAGTGAAATTGCTCTTTAGGCTGAATTAAGGAAACACTCGCATGGCAATTATTTAATAATTCATGACTGATTGGTATCTCACGTTGTGACACTACTAGACAAAACTTTGTATCGTTGAGTCTCTCTTTTAAAATATTTATTGATTATTCTGATTGTTTTCGCCTAAAAAGACCGGGACTAATAAAGTAGGACCTTATAATGTGTTTTTCTGCAAGAAATTAGTATGTGGTTGTAATACATACCTTGCAACCACCTAACTTGGGTAGCTGGGCCGTATCCTTTCTCGTTTCGCGCGGCGATGCGGAATATGATCGCTGGCTTAGTGGAGGAGTCGACGTGCGCCGCGCTCAGCGACGCCTGTGGCACCACACAAGTGTTGGCCTTGCCGCAGTAGACACGTACAAACGCGAGCTGTGATTTTGTTGGTTCCTAATAGCAAAGAATTTGTTAGTTAATATTTGAACAATGATGATTCTATTTAGTTAACTTTTTCAGTTCAATATTGCGCTACACATTGTAATGAAAATTACATTTTCATGCAATTAATTTACCTTAGATGGTGTAGTTGACCGCACAGCTAGATACACAGAATATTCGAATATGCCTTCTGCGGCCACTTGTGGTGGTTCCCACGACAAATGTGCTCCCTCAACAGATTTTGATATTTTGATGGCAGATGGTGCACCAGGGAAACCAGGTAAGCAAGTCTTAAATGCAGATTCCTACAAGAAAAATTGAATCGATTACTGGGGCGTAAATTACGTGAACAGAAGAGTAGTTAATCTTTATTATTTCAGTACCTATGTTCTTTTTTTTTCAATATTCAATATTAATTCTCCACAAACCAAGAGTCTGTGACTGACCAAGAGGTCAGTACCCTTGTATAATTTTCTTTTTATATTCTAACATTTTTAAATATTAGACTTATACTATAAGTCTAATATTTCATTATATTTGATCGTATTCTACTCACTTCACTAAATTCGCCACGTCCACAGGAATTAATGGCAGCAATTCTGAATTTGTAAGCAGTACCATGCTCGAGCGGCGTAGTGGGTAGGCCGGTTAGGTCTGGTAGATTATCTAGCGATAAATTGGACAAATCCACATTGGGGTCGGAAATATAATTTTGAACCTGTAATATGAAAAAAGATAAATAAAATAGATTATTTAAATGTAAGAAGGATCAATTAAACATGTAACATACAGTTGAGCAATAAATATTACCGTAAATGTGTTTCCTTTGACAATTCCAACTGTGTACCATGCATCCTCATCATGTTGCTTTGGCTCTTCTGGCTCCGCCTGTAAATGTTTATTGAAGTCTTACCAAATAAACCAGTACTGAGCTTTTAGTTATTCAAGATTAAAACAAATGGTCAACCTTGGTGTTTATAATACTTAGTTCAAGTACTTTGGGCCAAGGTTACTGGGAAACATAGAGATCACACTGATCTAATCTAATCTTAGTTAATTTTTATCAAAACAAAACAATATTTGGCTGTCTATAGCTGACTAAGGTTGCCTAGTAAATACTTTAAACTGTAATGATGCGTTTTGCGAAACAATTTTTACAATTTCTAATATCTTCATGGTTAAAGGCAGTTTAATGTAAATCATGAGTATGTGAGAGTGTGTGCACGTGTGCCGCGGTACCTGGTCATGTTGGTGGTGCAGCGCGGCGCTCGCCAGCGTGGCCAGCGCGTGCGCCGCGTCCGTCGGCGGCAGCGGCGGTGCGCCCGCGGCCCCCGCCACCGGGCCCGAGCTGCTGACGGCGCCCTCCACGTCGGCCGCCGCCTCGCTCGCCGCGCCCTCCGCCGCCACCGACGACGACACACCTGCGCCACCGTCCTCGCCTACGATACGTATCGAACAATGACACTCACGTAAGAAAACATCCTGAGACATGAACAAAAGCCATAAATTAAGATTTCATGTTATGAATGGATAAGAATGCATCCACATTAAAAAAAACTTAATACTTGAAATTAGGTGAACATTAGCAATATTGTTGTTCAATAAGTGCATGACAAAAATTGAATATAACATTAAAATGAACAAGTTACCAGGTAACAAAGTAGGTGAGAGTAATTCCGAGCCATTAGCATTCATAGTGAGCAAAGGCATTGATTCACTGACTGTAGGCATAGTATCAGCAGCTCCCTCCATCTCTGATGTGTCTGCATCACTGAATCTGAAACATTTATTTGAGACATTAGTATTATGTGAAAGGCAAAGATTTTAAAATACAATATTTATGACAGAACATAATAAACAATCCATAACCACTTAGTAAAAATCTGTTTTCATAACAAGTATTAAGGTACAGATTTTCATAGATGTAATACTAACTCATTAGTTTGCTGTTGTGATGCAAGAGAGAAAGAGTGTAGTACTGCTGGTCCATTGGCTGTGGAGGAAATAAGAGGAGCTTCTGTTTGTCCACTGCTAGTTATATCAGCACCACCCTCCGCTGTGCTTGAACTGAGGAAAACAAAAAATTACATGCATTTTCGGTTTGCTATTGGTTGAACATGCAACTAATGAGATGTTCCTACCTAATGCCTGTGCTGAGAACATCCTGTGCAGCACTGCTGATGTCATTGACATCATCACTACTGGCAACACCCTCCCCACCACCCATATCTTCATCCATGGTGCTAGATTCATCTGCAAATTAAAACTTTCATAAACAAAATAATTGTTACAGCAAATTAGTATATAGTACACAGTGCCTAAACATTTACTATCTTCCCCATTGCAGACATTGTATTTTAAGGAAACAAGCAAAATACTACTTTTCTCTTTCAATCTAAATCAACATTCAATCTTACATCTCCTCTTTCTCATTGGTCGAGGGTACTCCTATATTTGTGCCTTTATGACATACAACTTGACTTTACCTAATTATGACATACAACATATAACTTTTCTTAACACGTTGACCGCTGCATAGTTCATTGGTGACCTACAATATACAAATTAAGTCTTTGACTGCCTTTCTATAATCTTTCAACCCACATTTCACACATAATAGACTTACCATCTTGCACAATTGGAACACCGTCACCCTCACCAACTCCACTGTCGGTAGGCATTGCAGAACTAATGGACTGGTCTGGAGACTCCTCAGCAGCTCCTGCCAAGCCTTCAGCTTCGTCTAAACTCTGTTCTTTCATCATCGGATCCAACTGGCTCTCAGTGTCCTGGACAAATAAAAAGTATCCAAGTTTAAATACATTATAATGAAACAGAAAGTTGTGGCAAAGTGACTAATTTGTTTTACAGTTCTTCATATGGAGGTAGAACTTTACTTGTACTACTGAATTAAACATTTCTTACAGGTGTTGACAAACAGTTGTCCCCAATGTAAGCTGATTCATCCGCTACTGTTCCCGTAGTTGTGTCATCAATGTCCATCTCTTCTTCCGCCTCTGCTTCAGGATTTGCTACAAATAACATATTTTCTTACAAACATGCAAAAAAAGCAATAAAACAAAAAGGCTAACATATTAACAATGATGTTACATAACGCAGACAGAATAAATTTTTCTTATTTAGCAATTACATGTGATTTCAAAAAAGATGTTTGTTAAAAAATTAAAGAACTGTAATAAGACACTAAACTAAAACTATTATGGGTAATAAAATTAAAAGAAATCATCCTTACCTTGCTCAGCATGCTGTTCACCATCATCACCGTCAGCTAATTGAGCTGCAGCATCAATATCCAACCCATCACTGCTACTCGTAGGACCTCCATTTGCAGCTACAATGGTATTTGTTCTTATTTATTAGACGATCGGAAACAAATCATGCGTACTACCACTATTACTGCAGTTTTTACCGCTATTGAATTAGCCGAAACAGCAACACAAATGCAAATCAAAATAACGGTGTCAAATCTAATCAGATTCGAAGTTCGACCCTAGTCGAAAACAAAAACTACACTGTGCAATGAAAGTACGTGCTTATCAATATCACCTGATTCTTCAGCAGCGGCGGCTTCTTCGTTACTTGTTACATTACTTTCAGAAGCATCGATAGCATCTCCAGCTTGGTTCTCTTCTAAAGGCGACACTTCCGCGCCATCGGGTACATCAGCGTGAAGCGCAGAATCTGACTCCATTTTACAGCGAATTAAACTTTAAAATAACATAAAAATGAAAAATATTGAAACTTAACAAACAATTACAGAATATTAGCTAGCATAATCAGATATTTCCTAAAATAATTATCTTATTTGACACAAGCTCCAAATTGCCAAAGGTAGCCATAAAGCATAGAGTCCAGTTGGCGTCTTCTCGTTTTTTCCACTTAGACTATTCAGAGACAAAACATGGACTGAATAGTAGGGATTTTATACTTAACTAGCTACTTGCGCGCGGTTTCAGACGCTCTGCTCAGCTCCTATTGGTCGTAGCTTGATGTTTTATAGCCAACTAGCTGTTGCCCGCGACTTCGTCCGCGTAGATTAATGACTTCTGACAGAATCAATTCAGTGCCCAAGTAAGATTTACCTATTTTGAAATGATTTATCGTAGTTTCAATAAATAAATAATCCCGCAGGGATCTTACCAGTACAGTGCCCGATCACGTAAGGTTTGAGTAAGTAATAAAAACTATTCTATCGACTATTGTTGTACCGAATCTCTCTAAAATAAGTTCTGTGGTTAAGAGTTAGACAGTCCTGGGGCATTGACGCATAGTTCCCGTTCCCGTGTGACATCTGTGATAAAAACTATCAAACGTTACCCAGGTCCCAAATCATCGTTTTACCGAATGTAATTCAAAAAGATTCAATGATTCTAAATTCAATGGCTAAGAAGATTTATACAAACTCTCATTCCCTATTTTATCCCCTTAGGGGTGGAATTTATCAAAATCCTTTCACAGCGGGTTACTACGTCATAACATCTATCTGCATGCCAAAGGGCATTGACTAAAATTGGTGCCTTTCTTTTTTCTGGCGGCAGTCGATGATTTATGAAAAATATTATCTAGAATGTCATTACAAACGAAATTGTCTATGGGCTCATATATGGAAATCTCAGTCTGGACTGAGTTATGAGCGTTGAAAGGAGCTGGAATCAAACATTTTACTTTCGTTTTTTTATTCAAATTATTCATATTTTTCTCACAATTCCTAACTTCAAATTGCGCGCCACTGTACGCCGGGCACAGAAACACCAAATCACACCACAATATATCCATATTGCCAGTCGCTAATTTTTATTAGCTATTTTCTCTCAGTCGATAACTTGTGGGATGCTTCTAGGAGTTGTGTCATGAAGCTTCATGAGTGTCAGCTGTGGTACCATTGGTGGGTTGAGTAGTAATAGCCGTCCAAACATAGAATAAAGTATTTTTTTGCCGTTGACTCCTGGTGGGAGACTCATCTACTTTATAGTTAGCATAATTTTTTGAAGAAAGCAAACCGTCGACTTTGTAAAGTGATGGACTATACGTCAGATAAGCGCATAATTTTTTCATATAATGTGATCATTCGAAATGCATCACTTTGTGACTGAATGACGATGTCTTTGTACAGAATCTTATGCTAGATGTAGATTAAAGTATTAACTGTAGTTAGATTAGTTACTAATCGGAAGTAAGTCAGGAGAAGTAGACATAAAAATATTTTTTCGTGTTTTGATGACTGTCAATCCGCTACCGACGCCGCAGCTGACAAACATAGCATTTCATGATAGGGCTCAGTAAAGTATTTTGCGGGTTTTTGACTGAGAGGAAATTGATCATGAAAATCTGTCATAGGCCATAAACCGTATACATATAAATTGAACACGCTAGTCAATCAAACGAAATGTTTTTTTTTCTTCAGCAATGGTCAGTTAATGGTTCACTCTGTTCTGAATACGTGGCCTTATAACAAAAAAAAAGAAAAAAAAAAAATAATTGTAAAAGTCCACAATAAGCTTTATTATATTCCTTAAAATCGTCTATAAACATTTATTACAAAATATTTCTGACAAGTAAATGAATAAATATGCGATGTGTACGGTCACCATCAACAAAATCAAAGGAATTATATAGCACTATTTTCACATCTTTGAACTGATTTAACTCGGTTTGGACTGTGTTTTTGATATAAGACCCCATACATTTTTTTATTTGTAATGTTATTCTGCATCTATTTTTCTACATCCGATCAACTGCCGCGAAAAAATGAAAAGGCACCACGCTCCATACAAATTTGGTCATTGTCATTTCAACCCGATCGGTTTAAAACTGACAAAGTCCCATACAAACTTTCATCCCCTATTTTACCCCCTTGGGGGTGGAAATTATCAAAATCCTTTCACAGCGGGTTACTACGTCATAACATCTATCTGCATGCCAAATTTCAACCCGATCGGTTTAAAACTGACAAAGTCCCATACAAACTTTCATCCCCTATTTTACCCCCTTGGGGGTGGAAATTATCAAAATCCTTTCACAGCGGGTTACTACGTCATAACATCTATCTGCATGCCAAATTTCAACCCGATCGGTTTAAAACTGACAAAGTCCCATACAAACTTTCATCCCCTATTTTACCCCTTTGGGGGTGGAAATTATCAAAATCCGTTCACAGCGGATGCTTACGTCATAACATCTATCTGCATGCCAAATTTAAACCCGATCGGTTTAAAACTGACAAAGTTTCATACAAACTTTCATCCCCTTTTTTACCCCCTTGGGGGTGGAAATTATCAAAATCCTTTCTTAGCGGATGCCTACGTCATAACATCTATCTGTATTCCAAAATTTAGCCCAATCTATCCAGCGGTTTGGGCTGTGCGTTGATAGATCACTATGTCAGTCAGTCAGTCAGTCAATCACCTTTGAATTATATATATATAGATAGCCATCCTCGATAAATGCGCTATCCAATACAGAAGAATTATTCAAATCAGACTTGTAGTTACGGAGATTAGCACGTACAAACAAAAAAACAAACTCTTCCGCTTTATATAATAGTATAACTTAAGATTCATTGTGTTTACTTTAAAAATTATTGAATAATTAATTTCTTCTTTATCTTCCAATTAAAAAAACTTTACTGTTTACCTCTTGGTTTTACTAATGAATATGTTGCTTATGGGGCGACGTGATCCATCGTAGACCGCATATCATCGCTTACGACCAGTCGAGATAGTGGTTACACGTCGGCCCATCAAATATGTATGTTAAAGTAAAAAAAAATATTTTACGCTATCTATTGTAAAATTATGTTCGTTGTCGATTCACCATTCGTCGCGTAAAAAATACGAAGTTGATTTCGCTGGGAAATTCGGAATAAAATCTACATATAAAACCCGGTGCACTCTTGGAATGCTGACTTATTTTATACTCTTTGGAATCTTGATTAGCTTTATATTCTGTGGTGCCTTTTGAGTTGGAACTTGACATAGTTGACAGTTGACACTGACATAACTAACACAGAAACTGTCAAAATAGTGTATTTCATAGATTGTATTGTAGTTTACTGAATTTGAATATTTTGAATCAAATTAAATCATTTTATGAACTCTATCTATATCAAACTGATATAATTCGAGTTGAATCATTACGGTGCCTAGTTGTACTGAGCGATGGATTAAAATGATATTTAACAATATCTAATTGTGTACATGTAAATAATTAAGTATTCAATTACTGAAACCTAATTTTGAAACAAACCTAGGTCAACATGAAGCCTGAAAACAAAGAAGCAAAACCCGGCGATGGAATTCGGTCAATGCAATCGTCTACAGCATTTCGAGTTATAAATTTTGAACTATATGCAAAACCTGTAAGAATTATTCTTTAAATATAAATCTAACCTACAACATCTTTATGTAATACTTACATGTACAAAATTATTATTGTTATTGCGTGATAATACCTACACCTAAGGAAATAATAAATGAGGATACTGTAAAGCGCACAGACCATTCTGTGGATACATAACAGATTATTTTATTTGTTTCAGAATATGGTTATCATGGCTTTAGGAGCTACATGTTTTGGTCTGGCTCTTGGATATATGGCATACATGAGAACAAAATATGAATCAATGGGATATTATGCAGCTGTTGACAAAGATGGTAAAGAGATATTTGAAAAGAAAAAATCCAAATGGGATTAACAAAAGTTTAATGTAAGATAAACAAGCTAAAGCCTGAAGAATATTTATAATGAATTTCAATCAGACACAAAATATTTATAATGTTCAATATCATAAAAAATTGTTGTCGTCTTCATTTATCTAGATAAAAAATGTTCTAAAATTATACTTTGCCTTACGGACATTATTTCAAATGGGTATCTCTAACCCATGTACTGTTCATGACCATTAAAAACTCTTTCACTTCTTGAAACCTACAAGGCTACAACAATTATAAAAAGTCTCACTAAGTTCTAGTGCTGCTAATTTCAATTGTGTGAAAACTATCAAGACATAGCAATATGTAATTACAATGTAGTTATTTCCTTTCCATGTGAAAAAAAAAACAAATTATGGAATAAATTATTTGAATTAGGTAGCATGTTTGCCCCAGGGAAGAACATTTTGTACATTAATGTAGAAAAATTACTTAGATAAGTAAATAATTATAATTTATCAAATGTACAAATAAATCACTGAAACAAGTTGCAATTGCAAAGTTTTTCTTTTTATATAATACCTCTCTGACTCCTCTCCTATCCATTAAATTAAATTAGTGTCACTTGATTGCCTACAAAGTAATAGTAAAGCTTCGATCAACAATAACAACTAGATAAAGGGTTACGTACAAAATCAAGCTCCAGTTCTGTCCGTGTGAATAATAATAGAAAAAAAATAACAAACAGAGAAAAATGTTTTAAAATAGTTTTAACTTCAACCTAATAACAACCATGGCACCTAATAATTAAGTCACAAATCGTCAAAATATTATCTAATACATACGACCATTCGTCACAAAAGACGAGAAAAGCATTTTGTTACACCTGTCATGTAGAAATTAAAAGACATAAGTTAAACAATATCTAGTTTGAATTCAACCTTAAGCTAGAACAAATAAAGATAATTTTTCCGTTATTGCCTTGCGATCTACATCGTTTTATTTTGTTTTGCTTCTTCGAATTTCGAATTTTGAATTTCGCTACACTCTACAGGAGATATGGAGTCGCGTTAAAAACTAAAATAATTTTATAATAAGAAAATGAAAGTTGAGTTGTTTCCTTTTAAGATTTCGGGATCTTAGTATACATCACTTATTTTTATTAGCGTTATGTTTTTGTGTATGATATTTTTATTTACTTTATCATTCAAAGTCAAAGTCTAAGTCGAAATCATTTAGGATCAGGAAAGCACTTTTGAACGTCAACAATAGGTTAGGTATAAATTTGAAAGTGAAGCTATTTGGTCATTCCAAGTTGTAGATTCATATGGAGAAGAACGAGAAAGAAACTCCATAGGTTAGGTAAGTACTCTTTTCCAATCAGGTTCACAATACAATTCTCCAGTTACACAGTTTTACTGTTTCGATTGTGCGAGAACAATGTAACACCAAAATGCAGTCAAAAAGATCGAAAAAGAAAAAAAAACTTTAAAGACAATAAATAATGCAACCTGGAGCTGACCAGTCCCAGCTGACGGCGCCCGTTCACGAACATGACACATACACCAGCACCGCCCAACTCAACCATATTGTAGGGAATCGAGCGATGAGCGCGTGCAGTGGACGCGCCACCGCCAATGAGACTTTGAGTAGGTAAGTAAGCACGACAACTCCAAGCTGACACAAATGCATTCTACTAGTCTAATTTAATATTTAGTTAATTACAGGGCTCTCACATTTACAATGATTATGCAAGTTAAACAATATACATTTTACCAATAAGGCTGTAATAAGTATTTACGTGTTTGGATTTCATTAAAACATCAATGTTTTTCGTTATCCCGTGGAGTTGGGCCAGCCTGCGTCCAAGCATTTTTATCCTCTATTTAATCATTAAGTTTGTAATATGCTTGTCAACATAAAGTTTTTTTATACATAATTTAAATTTCGTTTCATTTAGGTGTTGTATATCTATTGGTATCTTGTTATGACATTTAACACAGAATCCCATGGACGACTTAGTTACTTTCGGCAATTTCAAAATTGGCTGACTTAATCTATTCTTGTCTAGTTTGATAGTGGTGTCTGTCCGGCACTTTACCAAATAACTGTAGGATTTTCCTAACATACATGATGTTTTCATAAATAAATGGACATGGAACGGTCATAATGTTGATTTCCTTACACTTTTCGCTGAGACATTCGCGACAACCTAGGTTGTAGCTCTCAACATTGTAGATTTTTTCCATTCTGCGTAAGTACCTGATTTAAGTTCCTTTAAATAAGTTGAGTTTATTATACAATTGTCGTTTTGATTTGTCTTTTATATCTCTTGTTTCTTTTTTACATAGGTAAACGTGAGGTTATCACGTCAATAAATTTTTCAACAACTGATTTCAGTAAACTAATTGCGTGATTGTGTTCGTCTCCTCCAGGAAACACATTCTTGTCAATATATAATTTTAAAACATTTGTACATATAAAGTTACTATTATACTTTTTTTGTAAGGATTTACCTCCACTCACACGAATACAATTTCGAATAACGCTTTCAGTTTTCATGCAAATATTAAATACATCGGTAGAGGCATAGAATAGCCCTCCCATGTCTCTTAGATCTATTAATTTGTGAAAGAATTGTTTCTCTGTTGCACACAAGTTCTTCATACACTGGTCACACTTTAGTTTTTTTACTAATTTACTGACAACAAATCCTGAAATATATCCTACTATTTGCGGCATAACACTAGAAGATGGACTTTCATCTAATGTAGAAGAAAGTGTATTGCAATTAGTCAGAAATTTTTGAAAACTTTGCTCTACGTATCTGTTATTTAAAATCTCTGTTTCACTTAAATTTCTCTCTTCACTTTCATCAAGGCGATATCCTATCGAGGTGTTATTAATCTTATCGAGAGTCGGAGCTCCAGATAGGATTGGTACATTGTCAAGACAATTGCCAGTAAATTTTGAACTCAGTTCCAAATGAGACAAAAGTTTTTTGAAGCTTGCTTTGAATTGTCGGCTGTTCGGGTTATTATTATGTCCGCCTTGACTTCTGATAGCGCCAAAAAATAACTCAATATGGTCCTGACTGAATTTGTAAGATATTAAAAATGAAAGGATGTTAGTTTCAACTAAAGTTTCAAATAAGTATGTCAGGCTACTGATGCACGTCAGAAGTCCCAGCAAACCAGTATTATTTTGCGTCTTAAATAATGGTACTAATTTATTACAGAACACTGTTCTTAATTCATTGTTTATTTTAGCAGTTTTTTTATATTGAACTTTAATGGACAACGATAGTAAATAATCTTTTGCTTTTGACAAAAACGACAATATTTGCACAGAATTGCTTTTACTATATGGCTTTTTAAATCCATAGTCTTTCAAATTTCGTGAGTTAAAGATATCAAATAGATCATTTAAAAAAAATTATGAATTCCGCAGTACTTTCAGAATCTTTGAATTCAGCAATTTTTAAAGTTTTGTCACAAAATTCTAATGCTTTTGAAACACTCTTGCTCAGTAATTGTGTAGCTAATCTGACGTTCATTATTTGATTTTTAAAATATACGTGCCTATGAGATAATTTATTTGCTAAATGTAAACTGTTTTCCGCTTGCAAATTGTGCAATTTAGTAATGAATTGCCATTTAATCTGTTTTTGATTAGTTGAGTATAATATTTTTTTTGATTCAAAAGTATTTCTCATTAACTTTACCATATGACAAGCATCTAGGAATACAACAATATCATAATCTGCACAGGGATGTCTAAAATTAGTTTTAATGTTTTCTGGATTATCTATTTCACATCCTAACTTTTTCATGGTTGCAATGTTACTTTTACAACCATCAAATGTTACCGAACGAATTTGAACACCAATTTTTTCACATTTTTCTAATGCGATCTTAATCAAATTGGCTTTCATGTTTGCCTTAATAGTGTCAATGAAAAAGTAAGCCAGTGGTAATTTCCAACTATCATTAATTGCAACCAACATAAAAACGTATGCCTGAGTAGCCATTTGGTTGTTATCGTCGCTTCCTAAACCCATGTCTACCAAACCCTCATAACGCTTACCCGTCCATATTTTTTGTCTTCTTATTGCCATCTCATCGGCAACAAGTGCGCATAATATTATTTTCTTACATTCTTTTGCCTTTGCTTTTAACCTGTTCAAAGTTTCGGCACAAAATCCGGGTTCCGCATTGACACTCCGATACCATTCGTACAACGTATAAGGGTGTGGTAAGCATGTGTTGAACATTTTACGCACGTACTTATAAGCAGCAGGGGAGTAAAATGGAGCGTTAAGGCAAATTTTCTGGCACCAGGTGGATATTTTGAAAATGGTTTTTTACGCTGTTTTTTATTCTTCACGTACATCCCATTAAATACTTCTGCAATTTCAATATTTCTTGATAAGTCTATCAAGACTGTCTCGTCTATAGTTTGTTTTTTTTTCAACAAATTAACTATATTTTTTAAAGAACTGTTTTTTTTAACCAGTCTCTTGTTTACTTTTTGCAATGTTTGAATTTTTTTTGATTTATTGTCTATGATTTTGCAAGCGGTGAGTAATTGTTTATTCAGAAACTTCTTGCTAGGTGTTTCACTAACTGATATTAAATCTGATAATGATGCAACAGGAGAAGTCATAACAGAAATATGCTCTGCTTGGTCTTGGCTATACGTGGGTTTCTGTGTGATGTCTAATCCATAACTCGATGACACAAGCTGAAAAAAAATATAAATACATATAGTATTTCTCTCTACCTCTAGTCTCCATTAATGATCTGTAAAAGCGCGAACATGCATTACTCAAATTAGCTACAAATCTCAAATAAAAATGATCATTTAGCAAAATTGTAGGAGTATTCGAGTTTCCCCCTAAGCCTTGGAAATAATAAAGTCCAATTTTTTACTGAAATGATTTTGCGTGAATAAAATCAAATTCTGATAATGGTTACGCATAATTTCAAGAAAATTATAATTTATCATCTCACACAGACGACTAAATTGACGACACCTATTGCTA